TAATTGAATCAAAGACTATCTTATAGAAAGAGAAGTTAGTCTAAGAAATTTGAACGGGTATTATCTAAACCGAAAATAAAATTTAGAAATGCTTATATAACCAATTGTCCACGTATATTGACATAATCAACGTAGTAGTATCGATATCCACTATACGTACTGAAGACATAAGGATTACAACAAAGTTCTCCTCGCATGTAACCGCAACGATTTACTGCATTAAAACTACATGTTACACGATAATATGTCTGTCACTCCATACGAGATTACGATTGTATCCATTCTGATTTTCGATAATCGAAATGCTGACCATGTTAGATGACATTCACCTATTGGATGATTTTTAACAAAACCTTTACGATAAGCTGTTTTCCGAGCTTCTTCTAATGAAAATGATTCTATTAATGTCCATATGAACAACGGTTCTGATTCATAATCACAATACGATGTATAAGGACTACCTAAGCTATCTTACATGGTCTAAAATCTATTTTCAGTCGCTTGAACATATTCTTTGACTTCATAATACGATTTAGGATGATTTCTAGGGCTAGGATTGGAATTAGAGTTCGTGTTAGAGCTAAGAGTAGGGGTAGAATTGGTGTTACTCCCCAAAATTATACTTCAGGCATCCTATCAAGAGTAAAAACATCTTATTACGTTGATTACTTGAAGAAGTAAAGATTTAGTTTTAGTGCGATTTCACAAGTTACGATGACAATTGAAATGGATTAATTAGTTTCGTAAATTGCTATTATCGATTACAATCCAACTTGTAAAATAGTTGCAAAAATAAGAACAGCTACGGCCAAACTGGATATTTCCCGAGCTAAGTAAGCACGGAGTAAGGAAAAGTAATGAGAAATCAACTATTTAATAGTGATATGCATATGAATTCGAATCGCTATTTCTCTCTCATAGCTGATAGGACATGGGGGGGCAAGAGTATACAGATGTAGTTATAGTATTTATATACTCCAACAATACCTTAGTCTGTGCGTAATGTTACTGTTGCAGATAAATCTTAATATTTAATTGACTTATGCTAAACAGAAATAATAATGGTTTTAATTGTGATGTTTGTATCAGTCTCTATTTGGGAATTAGGGGTTTCAACTATCTTTTCTTTTCTTCATATTTTATTGATGATATAATGTACAGTTCTGATATTAGTAAGATTCTATCAAGATACTATCAGGATAATATCGAGATAATACTGTGTTACTTATTGCTTGTAGCGAAGTTTCTCCCGGTGCTAGAAGTACCGTCCATTACAGTTCAAGGCTTAAAGCTGTATGATAGTGTCTCACGATAGTACAACCTTTATTATCGCAACAAAAATAACCAGGCGGATAACATGTAGTAGAAACAAAGTTTTATTATGAGATAACTAACGTACAGTATAACTGACATCACTATAGTTCACATATACAAGTACACGACATGTTATTTTCTTTTTAAATATTTTGATAACAAAATAGATGAACATATTTATTTGATGTTATAGCATATTTCATATTCTTACTATAGAGTTTAGTAAATGTTTTTGTAAAGTTAATTTATGAGAATAAATGATCTAACATTGAAATAATTTCGATTGCTGCAAGTACTACAAATCCCGAAAAATCGCCATTTTACAGTATTCTGTATAGCATTTCATTCTTGATACTTCGTCTACAGTATATGTGCTATTTGAACCCAAAATATGCTATAACTTTTATTCTACTTAAAAGTTGAACGGCTATTTTACGCCTAATATTATTAATGTTCGTAAATCATAATGCTTAATTGGCCAATGTTGTACTGAGAAGAAATAATTATTGCTTCGATTACCAGTTTTGCTTGAGACTCTGTTCGGATACTTACGAATATTTCACACCAACAGTAATCAATATTATAGTGCATCTACAAGTATACGATTCATTCATGATACTTTTTTCTACAGTATATGTACTGTTTGGACTCAAAATATGCTATAATTATTATTCTACTTAAAAGTCGAACGACATGCTGACGCCCAATATTAATTATTGTTCCCATAAATCTCAATGCTCAATTTCCTGAAGTCATACTGAGCAGAAATAACTATTCTTTCAATTGTGATATTTGCATCAGGCTCTGTTTAAATACCCGTAATCATTTTATAATGATAGTAATTAATTTAGAAAATACTGTATTTACATGTATAATCTTTCATTTTCATGATATTTTATCTACACGGTATAAAGTTACTGAACCTCTGACAGGTCTATCAAATGGTAATACTATCTGTTAAATGAGCACATTATCGTAAACCGTCAGCAAAGCGACGGGAGTTTGTACTAGTTACTCTAAAAAGTACTATAGTCTAAAGTAATAGATTACCGACATGAATTCATCTTACTTATTGCTATCTTATATAATTATTTATACTGATAGAACCTAAGCTCGTCATACATCGTATACTGCATAAAATATGTACGTACTCACACCTTTTATTTGTTTTAACATACCCGAATATGTATATTATTAATTATCATCGTCTTTGCTACAATATTATTGTGTACACTACTTCAAGTTGGTATACAACATGCCAAATAGCACAAAAAATAGCTACGAAATTGAAAGATGAAGAAGAATTTACTGCATGCTTGGATCTTTGAGGCGACATTGAGATATTACCAGGCGATACCAATGATGATTATCATAGTTATTTAAAATCACTTACAATGAAATAATCTTATATGACGATAATAATGTTTTTTTTCAGTAAATCCTATCGTAAAATATACGAAATCTACGATAAAAAAGGCAAATATGATCAAGCTCTTAATATGTATAACAGGCCATTTATGATAAAATCCAATCTTATTATGTATGTCAATGCCCTAAAAAATAAGCGAGTAAAGTGAAATCAAAACCATTTAGATACGGTAGCCGAGTTATTATGGAAAATAGGAAAAGTTTACACAATTAAGCCAAATATGATGAGGCCCTTTATGTATATAAGGAGTTGATGAAATTTGGTTAGAAATGCATAGAAATCTCGTCATGATATTTACTCTATTAATTATTCGTAATCTATCTGACAAAATAGGATGGATTTACTTTATGTACGACTACGATTTATAATAAAGTTCTTACAATACTTAATATAGTACTGTAAAGTAGACAACTACCAGACATTCAGATAGTCTCGGTCATTGCTACGCCATGCAAATACATCAAAGCTGTAATGTATTCACATAATATTTTTGTACAACCTATTAAGGTATTAGGGATAAATAGTACAGTATGATAGCGTTTGATATACAGCATATATAATCACTGGATAAGAGACCAGTTGCGACGGTTGTAACGGTAAGAGTAAGGAGCAGGACAGGCGTTCTAACAAAGACTTAACTAAAACCGTTACAGCCTTAGCTATTGCATAAGGTTAAAGATCCAATTTGCAGTCGCTTGAGCAAATTCTTGGCCGTTTTATTTTCAATAGGTGTAGGAAAATTACATCGATAGCACTTTAAAATTGCGTTTACAAGTATTTTACTTTGGCATCATATTATCATTCATGCCTATTACCTATTGTGAAAGAGTATTATTCTATTAATTGTAAATATCTAAAGTATGGTAATAAAGTCAGAAACTGTTTTATACAGTCATTGTTAGTAAAAATAGCAAGCTATTTAGCATTACACATTAATAATTTTAGCGTCTAATATAACTCCAGGCAATTTGGCATCAACATAATACGTATTCTAAAAATCCACATTCACGTCCACATCGTATTATTATGTACGATAAATGCGAAAATGCCGCTCTATAGAGTAGATTCTGGAGACAAGATATGCCTCTAGGGCACGGCGAATGAGTTCTATTCTCATTAATTAAAAATATGATTAGGTAATACCCGTAATACAATGCGATCTTTTAATGCAATAAATCCGGTAAGAATATTGTGATCAAGTTGTATATTTCCTTAGCCATTTGCATCTTATGATAATTTAATTCTACTCAAGTGAATGAATCGAAAATCAACGAATTCCGTGTTTACAAATTGTACTGCATGCAAGCTTAAAAAAGTTAGATCATGATTCAAATCGAGTCATTTATTTTAAACGGCTATCATAATTCATTAGTAATGGATATGGTACAGCATCTCATTATTTCTTTTTTACTATGTTTGTTTGCTCAATTGAATATATAATAATCATTTCATACTACACTTCCGGTTATTTCAAAATACTTTCTAGGGTAGCTGTTCTGTTATGACTTCTGGTGTCTATTGAGTTAAGGTTTCTGTTAATTGTATTCTGACGTAATATATTTTGCATTTATACTTTTAACATAATTTCGAAGTTTGTAGAATTTATACATCTATGCGAACATAATTGAATATATTATATAATACATAAAAATACAGCCGATCAAATCGACTAAATTAAGGCAACAATCATCAGCAGCTGCATGATTTCTCCTTAAAATAATTTTAAATATTATCTGACTGATGTAAGCAGAACCCTTATACACTTTCCGGTGTTATTAAATAATAAGTGAAATTGTTCTATACGCTATACGATTACCAGAATTGTAAATTGACGAAGGCTTTCGTTCACTGCGTAAAAACTGGATTATTTTTCGAGTAGTACGTATTGAAAAATTTAAATACTATAATTAATTAATTTGTAAGTCATAGAATATTTAATGTTGCAAAGCTCTACTTTTGCTAGCTATACTCTTAGTACACACAAAAGCATTAAGTCATAGATTAAAAATAGATGTCAAAGGAACTGTATCGTTTAAACTGAAAATAACTGCGCAATCTATCCTTGTATAATAATACAGGATATAACGTTAAATATACGTGCAAATCATGCTTCAATATATACTTGTGCTTACGAACAGTTACCAATCATTTATTTTTATTCATTGCGCCATTGATATGCCTGAAAGTTAAACTGTGAACTTAATATATCTCTTCTCATTTTACATAGCAACGATTTCAATCCAGCGAAAATAACAATATGATAAGTCCATCCATTAGTGGTAAAGCTGAAAAACTCACTAAACAGATACGGCTTCAATTTAAGAAAGGCCGGAAATATTATGAAGTTGGAAATTTTTCGCGATCCCTGTATTATCTTGAAAAGCTTATCGATCAACTTGATTATATGATCAATAAGCCTGATGATCTTGATGGACTTGAATTCGATCTTTACTATCATACTTGTAGAATTTATATTTACTTTGAAAAGCCGACGTTAGCCTATACAATATGCCAAAGAGCACAAGAAATAGCTACAAAATTGCAAGATGATAAACAACTAATTACATGCTTGGATCTACAAGGTGATATTAAGATATTACAAGGCAATACCAATAGTGCCTATGATAATTATTTAAAATCACTTACAATAAAATTGAACTTATATGGCGATAATAATATTGTAGTCAGTAAATCCTATCTTAAAATAGGCGAAATCTTTGATAACGAAGGCAAATATGATCAAGCTCTTAATATGTATAATAGAGCCCTTACAATTGATAAGAACCTGCTTGGTAGTAACCATAATGATGTAGCTACATTATACAGTAAAATTGGCTCAATACATGATAGGCAATGTAAGTATGATGATGCTCTTGTTATGTATGTCAAAGCTCTGAAAATTATACGAAAAAAAAGTAACCAAAAACACTCGGATACGGTGGCCAAGTTATTATCGAATATAGGAACAATTTTACACAATCAAGCCAAATATGATGAGGCTCTTTACGTATACAAAAAGTCGATTAAAATTTATTTGAAAAGATATGTAAAACATCATCGTGATATTAACATGCTATATGACAAAATGGGATCGATTTATTACAAGCAAGGCCAGTATAATGAAGCTCTTACAATATTTAATAAGGTACTGAAAAATAGATTGCTACAAAGTAGATTTCTACAAGGTGACTTGATAATCTCTGATATTATTACTTCATGCAAATACATCGGAGCTACTTATATTGGCTTAGGTGAGTATGACAAAGCGAGAACTATTTACGAAAACTCATTTAGAATTAATCTAAAATTCTACCTCACCGAGGAGCACTCCGATATTATTTTATAATTATGATGATATTGGTTAGATACATTTCACTATAAATACTTTCAGGATAGACAAAGAATCCAGTTAATATGGCGATCTTGTATGATTAGGACCATCAAATTGACTATTATCTAGGAAAATTGAATTAATGAAAGCTTATTTCTGATCAGATTGTAAATACAAGAACAAATTTCACTCTAATGTTAGTGGTTAGTATTACAACCTGGGTGTTAGGCATCGTTAAGCTAAACAAGCATTGCAAAAGTTCTTGTGGCTATTGAAGAGGCGTTGGATCTACTGGCTAAACTCGTGTTAAAATTAAAGTGCTAATTAATAGTAATACATTGATTAAGAGTCAAATGCGGTAATCTTATTTCTGTCTTGGTAGTAGCCTTACTAGATCAATCGCGACTAGGCTAATTTAATAAATGGATCTCCTGCAAAAGATGGAAAGTTACTACTAATTACTTTATAAGCGTAAACACAAGAGCAATTATCATTGTAATATTGTTGATTGGCGTAGCTTAATGTTAGTTATGGATGATAAAACCAGATTTAGTATAATCTTAATCTGTAATGATATTAGGTGAATATTGGATCCATCAGTTGAGTTATCGTTTATTATTATTTGATCTATTTAATGAATTCGAAAATAGTTTCAGCAATAGCTTTATTTTTCTATCTATCTTGTGTCACCCTACTTATAATTAGAGATTTGGCTAGTTTTTGTCAAGCAAATAATTAATTAATGGTTGTAATTAATTTCTAGGTTCTTCTACTCGTATACTGTCCATTATAGACATACAAGAATATTAATTTACTGCTTTTAGATCTAGAATTGTTAGCTAATCAGTTGAGCCTAATATAATGATAGATAACTGACAGCAAGTTAAATCTTTTAAGGCCATTTACCACAAGTAAAATGAGAAATAATACATTAATTAGCCGAAATAACCTCGTAATCTGTTGTCTTACTAAACTTTTCTATAGTGATATGGACGAAATAACTGTAATTCTCAGGCTGTTATAAGGATATAAGTGCTATATTTTTGTAATTGTATGATTTTTTTTGCAAGAATTAGCTGATTATTAACTAAGTATTGTGTTTCATTTCGTATAGAATTAATTATAAAAACGTTTTACAGCAAGAAGGATATTAATCATTGATAATAATTAAATGATCTCGACACTAATAAGTTCTGTGCAGATTTGCAAACAGGATTACGCATTTTTACAATAATCATAGGATAATTACCATAGTATTGTAAAGCGAACGTGAAGTTAATTACGTTATCATTGTGTAGCTGTCTATATACACGCGTAAGCAGCATTCTACTAACGAGCTTAGCCTGCAGCCTGCTTTGCATGACCTGCTAATGCAAATGTATGCTTCTCACAAGGACTGGTCGATTACGATCATTTGGGTAACATATCTATTTCATCTCGTTTAAAGCTAACTACAGTATTAATTGGCAGTTAGCTAGACGCCTGGACTTGATAAATAAACAATCTCAACATACGCAGTATTACAGTAAAGGTCTACAAATTGATCTGTAGCCTACAGACTGTAGAGAACAACAGAATTTGAAAATGTAAATGAAGCCTAGATTACATCTGTGCAATACTGCTGCAGCAATATGCCAATTATTCTTAATGCTGTTGGTATGTAGGTTCAAATATAATTATTAAGCATTTGCTATGTAATGCATTGAGATTATGTTGTGACGCTAACTCACAAGTGCATGCCTTACTAATCAGCCTTCATCTTGGCATTTAAGCATGGATTATGTCTTCGAGTTATTGATTGATCACTGATATTTACTTTTTTCGTAACAAATCAATTTACCTATATTCAGTTGATACTAATAATAGTACCATAAGCATCAACTTTCATCTCTTCTTCTACAAGCCCTTGCTGTATACAGTACATTGATTAATAAACGTGCTTGCAACAACTAAAGAATCACAACCTTCATGCGATACTAGTAAATGTGGCATATTCTAGTCGCACTCCGTTTATTAAATACATTCAATATATTATTATAATACAGATATATCCGAATGGGTTACAATTATGTGTGGACAGCATATTGTTACGAGTGCAATCTCGTAATCAAAGCAATAAATGTATCATTCCATCAATTGAGATAATAGTTTATTTAAAATTTCAGAAATAACACTTGTTATCAAATTTTGCATTGAATTTTAAAAATAAAAGTGCAGTAGGCAATATCTTGCCCTTGTAAATAGTACATAAGAATAAAATTTTGCAAGACTATGGACATAATTTTAATTGCCTTTGATTTAATTTCTGTCTTTACGGAATCAAAACTTTTTACGAAAATAGCCCGTTCGGAATACGATTATAGTTCTGAAGTCTAATAATTGTGATACGAGTATAACTTAAATATGCTCGTATAACACCTTTGAATATTAAATCACATGATACAGAATCCTACAAAACGAAAATACCCTTAGTTCTACACCAAATTTTGTGACATCACATATTCCGGAATAAGTACTCATACAATCTAGGAGAAGTACAATCCCTAAATATTATATAACATCATTTTTTATGCTTTTAAGTAATCATTAATAATTCAATCTAGTAAAAATTGATAGAAAAGGCCTAAATTAAAATGATTAAATTTTGCAATAGGCAGGTACTACACAGCATACCTCAAATATAGTACAAATATAGTTGAATAATAAAATTTAAGGTCTTTAAAACAACGCGAAACGCATGAATTTGCCGAACTTAATTTAACTCTGAAATTATGCCTTGCTATTTTAAGCACAGATCGTGACAGGCTACCTTAGGAAATATTTATCCAAGAATCTATCGAGAATCTACCAGTAAGAGTGACGTAGAACGAATTCAATGACAGAAGCAACACTAATTACTTCATTCTCAGGAAATGGCACAGAATCTCCTTTCCTAAAGCAATAGACGATAAAACAGTTTTGGGAAGTAATACAGTAGTGCTTGGTTATTCACTTAAATTATAGTATTTGATTTAGCAACGGAAACTGTATCAATACGGCCGTACGATGGTCGACGACCTTGGCAAAATATCTACTGTATTTGTTAGGCGGTAACCCTTACCGATGAGCCGGAAAAAGTATTAGCGCTGGATACTTATAGGCCTTATACTGAACTGGTAGATCGTTTCTTTCACCATCAATTCTTCAAATTTTAGTTTACGAATCCAAAAATAGATAAAAAGTAAACCAATTTCAAATAATTGCAATTGCTGGTGAGGTATATACATCAAGATGACGTTAATAAATTTTTATCTATTATATACCGAGCCACAGTAATATTAGGAGAACGTAAAAAGTAATGGACAACTTTTAGATAAGTGGGAAATTGCGCTAGGCACACACCGCACCCGGGAGCATAGTAAATGAGTAAAACATTCTAAACAGAAGAATCAAATCAATTTGCTTAAGCTAAAAATTTTAGTTTTGTAATCATCAGCATTAATCGTCACTAGAATTACCTTTTCTTTATTTAATACAACTTCGTTAAAATTAAAATAAGAAATGTCGATAAGGCACGGGTAATCTTCCGTAGGTTGGCATACATCGGTTACTGTTGTATTTACGTGCCGTCTTCTAGGAACAAGTTGACGTCTTAAATATCTTTGTAGAAAGTAACCTAACCATGATTAAGAAGGTATTTACATGCAATCTTGAGTGTGTAAAGAAAAGCTTTCGTAGAAGAACATCATCTAATATCTACTATTAACTTACTGATAGTTTTCACAGTTAAAAGACGATTCTCTTTCTCTACGTACTGAACTTCACCCTAAAAATAATTATCGTCCGTCGCGGAATAAGACTAATGATTGCATATAATATATGACTACAGCTTCTAAGAATTAGTTATAAGTTTAAGACATACATTTAAATCAATGATGGCAAGAGCAATTCTCGACTTTCCCAGTCCATCCTCAACACCGAGATTAATAGCAAGTTGCCAGTAACTTCCAGAATCAATGTAATAAAAGTGAAGTTCTACCTTGGATCGATCTATATGAGCAACATTACTTAGCCCATACTGTAAAATTGCGCTTGATCCAAAAACACAATTATCCTTGCAAGTAGTTTCAAGATGAAAGAAACGTTGTCGAGTAACTTTACTGCTGTAATTGTATAAGGCATCAGATGCAATAACAATATTACTTCCATTACATGAAATATTATGGATACGAATTCTCGTTGTATATAAATCCACTCCAGCTTCCGCATTGCTAATATTCGAATTATTTATAATTTTACTGGAGCTTTCATCCAAACAACAATACGACGATAAAACTGTCAGAGAACGGTAGTAATTTGTCCAGTATATACTACTACAACCATAAGTCGTTGGTTTGTTTCGTCGATGCTTAAAATAGCCACTAAAAATTTGCTGAATATTTCGTAACGAATAATGACAATAAAAATCAAGGCGGCAGCACGACATGCAGAAATCACAAATGTTCATTTTCTGATCCGAAGAAGGATAGGATAGACAATAAGATCTAAGATCACAGGTCTTTTCATTTCTACTTCGTTTCAATAAGGCACGTCTTTTTTTCCAATAGGAGAATGCAGATAGTTTATACTACATTGATACATGTAATAGATCAGATAAATATCGTATCTTTAGTATTTCTCAAAACGACGTTATTATCTGTTAGAAATTTATTATAATCTATTGTAATTCATATTTCAAAGTAATAGAATATAATTGTATATAATTACCTCGTGAAGTACTTTCCTTGCTACGGATGAATCATTCAAAGGAGTAAACATTATAACGGAGGGAGTCTTTTTGAGGTTAGATATAAAATTGTCCGAGAAAAATGTATTTGGTACAAGTTCATTAACCAGCTTTAGCACATAGAACACAAAAAAAGGTTACTATTAGTTGCATAACCTGGGAGAAATGCTGTGAGAACGTTGAGAAGGACAAAGATCGTAATTTATTCCTAAAAGGTATAGAATAAATGAAACCTTAATATTTTTAGAATTTGTCCAATTAAGAATGTTGTCCATGGCAAATGGTAATCGTCGCGGATATTCCTAGAACAAAATTTCATTTTTTAGTGCGCTACTTGCAATTAGTACTTCTAGGCAATTTGCTAGTAGCTAATATACGGGTATAATCCAATGATAATGCAAATAACTGCACATTGAAGACATGTCTAAGGATGTACGAAAATAGTAGAAAATTACAACGCCAACAGATGTAATGCTCTTAAACAACGTATTTAACTAGATCTATATTACATAGTATAAATGACAAAAAATTAATTGTCTCCCTCATCACATCATTATGCAAAAATACCTAATTTCTATATTTTAGTCCTATATTGCTATTTACCAATTTCTTCTCCGGTAAAACATATAATGCAGCTGATCGTACAACATCAACATCGAATTTGTAATATCGTCCCAAGGCAGTCGTAGTTATAACAGCAAAACCGATAGTATCGATAGGACCTATGATTTTAAGATCATTCACGAATGTCTATGAGACGATATTTTATTAAATACATGATATCGTAATCAGCCAAAGTTTAAGTTTTCTCCTAGCAGTAAAGTAACTTTACACAGTAAAACCAAGTCGAGAATGTAAAATCCTAAATATTATTATATAAAATTTATTGCGAGATGCATTACCATTGGCAATTGATTTCAAAGAAGTCAATACTAATTCGCTATACATGGTAGAATTAAACCAGTCTTCTCCCAAGTAACTGACAAAAAGGCTCTAATATATCATCAAGAATATTAATGAACTATTATAACTATATGAGTCAGTAGCGGTCAAAAAGAGAGTATCCTTCATTTGCATTTAAAATCTATGAGTCAGGATTACGTTTGGCGATTCCGATAATAGAAGTTCCAAGTCCCCTTTCTTTCTAATCTCTCTGACGGGTTTGAGCAGCTGTAGCAGAAATTTGACCTAAAAATTGCGAAGATGTTTTCGTATAATGGTTACACTTGACTAAGGCAAGATGGTAACTGATCTTAAAGTAGAAGCTTAATTTCCAATTCAAAGGTTGGGGTTATTTTTGGTGATAAGCTATGAATGCAACGATCTAAGATAGTTAGGAAAATATTCTATGGTGAACGAAACTAACCATTTTCGCAGCAATTGGTTCGTCAGTATAAATGATAGGATTGTTGGTATCTTGCATATGAGCGTAAAACTGTGGATATTGAGCGAATCTATACTTCTTGTAGCATTCACTATCAGGTACCCAACAATTCACACTAATAAAAACAATCTAAATTGCAAGGAGTGGAATTGACCAATTAGTGTCATGATGGTGTAACAGAAACCGACAGTGCTATATATATACAATTTAAGGAATCATCTCGATAATGCTGTTCGATGCAATCTTTTATGTCTATGTGTGCAACATCTCAGATGATACTTTTCTTGAAGATAGAGCATAAAATATTACAGCTATGAGCACATTCTTGTAAGCGAGTTATCTTATACGTAACAGAAGTATATTATTACTATAACAATACCATGAAATGTAAACGAAGATATAATCAGCAATAGAATTAATGTCCTATTTTCCAGTAGCTTCATTAATATGTAGTATAGACAAGAACAAATTGAGATCATACGTGCACTAGCTCACCAAGGTACTAAGGCGATCGGCTGCAGCAGCAAAATGATTGGCTGTTAAATGACTTGAATAACACCATGGTGCATAAAACATGACAAAGACTAAATGATTTGCTAGAACAGCTTCTGTTATTTTGTCCAAAGAGCCATCATCAACTTCGACAATATTTGGATTTCCGGCAAACAAGTGTCCACGATCATCATTTTGACAGTATAGGCAGTGTTGATTGTTTACGCTATTCATAAAATATAAATACGTACAGCTCATCAGCCATTATTCCTTACAGATTTAATAAGCATCGAAATGGTTAGCCAAGTTGGAGTACTTTTGTAAATAATTAACCGATCTTTACCATATTTTTAAATATAATTTTTAAACAATATTAACTAGTCAAATGATATGTTCTCAGCCCATTGACTTGAAACATATTCTAATCTATCTTGCAATTTATTCGCATCCATTTATATGTAGTACGTGATATGTGATGTGCTGAAGGAAAATACTGCATAGAGAAATACAGTATCACTTTCTTCTATCTATATAGCTATTCCACTGGTAGGGTCTTTATACCTATATATCAATACTATGTAATGAATACGTAATGAAGGAATCGATTCCATCTATTGTTCATTGATGGTCTAGACAACATGACAAGAGGTTGATAACTATGCTGATTCCAAGTACTGTTACAGTGTACTACATGATATGGCAGAAAATTGAATATTAGCACACATTATTGAAATTTCCCTTATGGCCTTTACCAGTTATACTCGATACGTTTCTGCAAGGCCACAGTAAGTACTATGTCCAATGTGCATTCAGTTAGTCGCAATATCGCAAAAGCGCGATTCGTCGTCGCTAACGGCCAAAGTATAGAGCGTTGCCACTATATGAGAATTATCCTATCCTATCCTATCCATTGTGATTCACTTTTATTTCATGACTGAACTAAAGTTGATATCTCAACGATGACTGGGCAACATGTATAATACGACGATGAAGATCCTATTAATAAGCTTACGCCAGTATTGATGGATTACAACAAGTTGGCATGCTACTAGCTAGAGCAAGCAAAATGGCAAAGAGTTTCATGTCCATCTCGTAGATACTCACATCAGTATTATCAACGTTAGGAAGCAGAAGATAAACGAGCGAAATAACTGCATGATCACGTTTCGTCGGGTGAGCAGATGTCAATATTAGCTGACAACACGTTGCAGTAGCTATAGCACGATTAGAAAAATGCTTGAGATAGGCTGCAGAGGTTGCTTTTGGTTTTCATTTTATTCTGTATATTTCCTGGCTTTAGCTTTCATCGACCCTCGACCAAGACGGAATGCCAGAGAGAGCCACTAACCGACTCTCTCCTGTACTGTACCGTACAGTGTACAGTACAGTAGACTACAGTACTTTACAACACGTACTGTACTGTACACTGTACCGCCACGTCATGTACTGGCTTTCCAATCGAGCAAATTGACAGGGACTGCTTCGTAGTCCTTCAGTCTGTCTAGCTGCGCGTTATCCGTCGCTTGGCTACAGCCTGTCCTCTAGCTGTATTATTTAACTCCGTCAGTAGAAGTCTGCTAGGAATTTATAGCACGGTTTCGAGGTTACTGCGATGATAATTCAATGGTGAATTAAAACAAATTTAGGACCCCAAAATCCTAATACCACTCTATTGCTTTAGTACTGTAATAGCGTAGTAGCATATCCTAATAATTTACAAACTGAAGTAATCATCAGCTGCTCCTTACGCGTTCAATGACGTTCAATCGTACATTGGCAATGTTTTAGACACACAAAAATACTTCTTTTTCTACATTACATACTTTCTGATCAAACAGACTAGCACGTTATTTACAATAATGCATGTTATGAAGATCAATGCTGGATGAAAATAATAAAAAATGGCCCATTTCCATCTTTTGCCCAATAATACGTATAGGATCCCCCCTAAACACATTGTTTTTAGACAATAGCTTGCTGGGTACCAACGAATTAGCATCTAATTATACGTACATAACTATAATTTTAATATTAAAAATACTCCTACTATTTTATTCGTGGTTTTGGATCAATTCGATTAAATGATCAATGGATGGCCAAAGTATAACTGTAGTTAAACCTTGGATCATATCCAAGGACATTATAATTCATCCATGAGATCAAATTAATACCAAATTATAATCTTCTTTTCTATAATTAGAAAAGAATCGCCATTTGTATAATAATGCTAGGAAAGGTAAACTATTTTGTTGTCAGTATCATTAACAGTTAGTTACCTACAAATAGGTAAAAATATATCTATTATCAAACAAGCGAAGAAAATAATGATCTTCACTATAACCAAAATAGAAATAGAACATTGATATATTGATACTTGGAAACCAACTTGAATCAAAGTATAGTTTACGATTAAATTCCCTTCAAAACATGTTCAATAATACTACGCTGATCAAGAACAAATTGGCTTGCCTGATCATAATTAACTACGGTCTGTTAATTGTTAGCGTGAAATAATTACATATTACAGACTATTGTTCTATTTTACTGTTTACGTGCTGCAATACAATCAGGTAGGCACGGTTTAGTTGGAAATAAGGTTTAACGCAATTCATTTCAATTAATACTGTTGATGATAATCAGCAAGTAATCTAATATTGACTAGATAACTCGGGCGTTTGTGATTCAGCACTTATCTCTACTTGCAATGCCGAAATTTTCTTACATTGCAATCAGAGTTTAAATCAATCAAAGAGTTTAAATCATTTCCTATTAATGAAGGTAAATAGGAGAGACATTAAAAAAATTAGATGTCTCTTACTAGCCTGAATTTGATAACAATAATTAATATTATAATTGTTTATAAACAATAAAATATTAGAATGGTAAATAGCTTAATTCGATGAGTCTGATCTAAGTCATACAATTTAGGTTCATTTTTAGTCTTGTCTAAAATGCGGCCCCATTCTATGGTATAGAGTAATATGGGCCTTCTTCTATTTAAAGCTGTAGCGTCATCATTGTCACAAAATGCCAAAAGACTTGAACTTATTCGTTATAAACAAACTGTTAAAACTTGATGCTAATAAAATTAAAATAAAATTTCAGTGCTTTACAGTAGCATAAATACAAGTGTAGCAATCTAAAGACGTTTATGTTGCCATCATCGAACTTCTATTGATATCACTAATCTAAAAAAATAAATTATATTATTTTAAATGCATAATAATATCGTAAGTTATACGTTCAACATAAATGATTAAGTATTATGATTCAATGAAGTACTTATTCCCGACGTCTATTTAGCAACAACAATTTGTCTCAAATTCAGATGTAATGATCCTTGTTTTGTGGGGAAAAATTTACTTCCTAGTTATTATGTGATTATGTTATATAAATCTTTGGGATAAGTTTACTTCCTTAGTGTTGGCACATTACAAAATTTTGAATAATTAGATAATATTAAAGTAACCATTTGGGGATTATGCTATCCTAAGGAAGAATATTTAACTAGTGAAACTTGAATAATAATATATAACGTGGAATAAATAACTATTATATCATACAGATTTAGGGAAGACTGGAGCTATTTGCTATACCTAATTCGCTAGATTTAACCATCTTAATCATTCTCAAATAACAGTTTATACTTACAATTGGACAAGAAATGGCTACTTTTAAAAGAATCTTATTGTAAAATGTATTATACAATGTCAAATTACGAATATTATATCTTAAAGGGAAAGAATAATGCTGAACTGTAAATATAGGAATGGGTTAGTATGAATCTACCACTAATTTACAGTTGGAGTTCAGAAGCGGATCAATTTATCAAATACTTATTATTACTTATTACACTAAAGCATGAAAAACACCCATTTTCAGTTTTTTTGAATAAAATAAAATGATGGAACTACCGCTTAATTACCGAAAGATACTAAAAAGATAGATCTCAAAACAAACTGTGGTTATATAAGCGTAAAGAGTCTTAGGACTGCAAGTATCTAAATCCAGTGTTGATCGACTAACTGCTGGGGGTAATTACTATATGATATCTCTATGAAAGGGTTACGATATTAAATTCTATTTTTATGAAAGTTTGATCAAGATTATTCGAAGATCATCCTACAGACTATCCCAGTACCGCTTTTAAATTGTACGGCAGTTATACTGTAATTAACTCAAAATTATAATCGAAATTAAAATTGATAGCTAATAAATACAATACAAAGTAGAATAATATGCCATCTACAAAAGGTTTATGCTAAATATACTATTTTGTCTACTTTAAAAATCATAAAAATGTCACTAATCGTAGCTTTAATATTCTTTCTAACTGGATCAGTTTAGAATCTGTTACGATAACGATTTTTGTAAGATTAATTAGAGAATAGATTATAGTTATAATGAAAGCAAGCAAAAAGACGTTAATAACGGAATCACTCAAAAATATAGTCTTAAGCGTTTCTTTATTTTATTAATACTAAAAGTATACAGGAAGGAAAGCTACATACTCGTACGTAAAACCTCTGCTTTGCAATAATAATCTTGTCAAAAAACGGTAAGGAAATAAACGCTATGAAACTTTAATTAGTTTAGATTAATCTTAGCTTATTGACGTTAATCTAGTAATATAGGCAACAAAAATATAGGAAAACAATCACTGGCATCAATTGTTAATGTGTGGCAAATTAAAGTATCGAAATAGTCACAGTGGTTGCTTATTAATTTTAAATAGATCTATTCTACAGAACTTGCCTATTTTTTATACTTTAACATTTACATTCACAACGAGTAAGAATTGGAAATTTAAACTTTCTCCAAGTACAACGCTTATGAACAATTGTTTTACCATTTTTATCGTGAGATCGTTTGATTAAACATGTGTAAGTTAATAATCTTTTATATTTATACTCTGTACCACGGCAGGTCATACCAGGCGGAATTGAACAAGATCTGTCATTAATACAACTTCCCTGTAAAATATATCGAGGCCAAATAGCTGAACTTAAATCGATCCATTTATATTGAACTCGACAGAACGTTGTCGACGATAACCACCTTTTAACTTTTTTACGACTGTCACGGCCAATTTTATAGATTTTACCATCATACCCCGTCAATTTAAAATCTTTAAACTGTGGTAACACAGTTTTCTCGTCTAATCCTGTTACTTTAACCACGTACTGTGACAAGTTAGTATTATTAGCTAAGTAATGGGGTAATCTTGGCTTTCCTATCGACATATACTGTGGATCGTAATATTTGCCTAGTTTCTTCCTTAATGCAGGATGATCAATAGTCTGTGCCAGTGGTAGCGAATCAGCTTGAAAAGAGGGCGCTTTAATATCATCTAAATCATCACTAGGAACAGGTCGAAGATCTAGAGTCGGTATTGCGTTAATAGATAGTGCTTTTCCAACGCTTAGTTGTAAACTTGACAACAGTAAAGCAAAGTATAACCATTGACACCACATGGATACTAAATTATTAAACATGATTTATAAAAATCCACTTGTATAGATAGTTCTTATTTGTTTCGGCTAAATGAACCTCAGATAAGGTAATAAGTTGATTAAAAGTAATCTTGGTCTTCAATTCTTACTTCAAATAGCATTAGTATTTATTTACAATGAAATAATTATAATTTGATTGATTGATTGAGTAATTTCGTTAGTTTCCAGCTACGATTTAAACAGAAAAATGAAAACGGCACTCGCTACCTTTATTACTTGATCAACAGTCAATATATTCGTGAGTTTTACAAATTAACTTCTTATGTAATACTGTGTCAATCTAACTATCAATATTAATCTTTATAATTTAATTCATGCTTTAGTATTTGGTAAAAGCTTTGCAGACAACAATAAAAGGATAGATCATGTTATAGTAGACGTTGTTATCTCTTCTATAGAAATTTTATAATAATACTGTCTATGAATGCTATTATTTTACCTTTTTAATTAACGTTTCATATTGTTATATTGCATCATTAAATACTAATTTATTCAGACTACTATAACATTTGTTCGCTTTAACAGAGCTATTAAATCATCTTAAATGAGATTGATCATACCAATTATACAGCTACTTAGAATGAAAGTATAGTAGAAACAAACAATTAGTGCCTTTATTGAACTAAATTCCTACCCTTGATATGGAATTGAACTCTTACAATATTAATGTTTCTGTGATAATAGATTACTGAAATGAAGCATACCTTAACTCTTACTTTGAGGGAATTTTGATTGTTTTGATACTATAAATATCATCATGCACACAGTGCATTTGTTCGTTAAGACATATGGTAAACCTTCTGTTCTGTTTAAGATGTTCCGTATAGAATTACGCGTATAGACACTTGTATAGTGCTATAGTATGTATAGCTTGCAACGTTTGATGGCGAAATTTATTTTCCACTTCAATGATAAATTAACCTTTACAATTTTAGATTGTCTAGTATCAGCATCTATCTGCATTGGGCGATTAATTGCTTCCTTTTAAAAGCTATGATTACATTGCTGCAAATTTCTACTAGAATAGCTATAGAAATGATCAAAACAATGTCCAATTTCTCTGTCTGTTTCACTATTGCTCAAACAATGAATGGCCTAAGCCTAAAGTTAGATTAGCCATGATCAATTTACATAGATTCTATGATTGAAATGATAGGCCATCATTATAATGATTTTGGCTTAGGTTCAATCTTTTGTAGCTATCCGCTCAAGTTATTTTAATATTTTGACAATCACTTTCTTTATGATAAGAATTGATAAATTGTGGTGATGTAACTGTCATGAATCAGTTGAATGATATCATTTTTGTAATTATTAATTAAATTCATTCGTAGCGATCAATTGTATAACTTCACACTTTACTGGATGTTAGATCAGATAATCATCACTGATTTAAATATTTACAATAACGATAACAAAAGGGCGAATTAGAAAAGATCAAATTTCGTGTTAAAAAGAAAGAAGATTCATTTTAAGTTGACTTATTCATTTATTCCATGCTACAGATATGATCATACACTAAATAATCGACTAGTTTGATTCATATATGATTAAACCTAAAGAAGGGGAGACGTTAAGGTTCGCTTACTCGTGTACTATACTCTGCGCGCAGTAGAACACGAGTAAGCAAAGCTCGATAGTTGTCCGCGATGATGATATTTACACTGGTCCATTTATTTCATCGACATCATCAAAATATAACGTTTATTGCTATCATTTATAGTAATCAGATTATAGCAGGGCATAAACAGGAGGTAGAAGTATTGTAGCAATCCATGACACGGAAAAGTAGAATCAATTCATGGGCTACTAAAAGCGGTGGGAATTCGAGCCGAGTACGACCTACTGTACAGTGTACAATACAGTTTCTAAAACAACATCTAATATACTCGTACCGTACTGCACTACAGTATCGATACTATAGACCACTATTTCAGGGTGGCTTGTATACTGATTGAACCGTTGGTGCAGGCATCAGTGACTGAGGGTTTGCATTAGAAATTGCTTCTAAGAAATAAAATAACTCTAGAATGAGCGAAATGAAAATAATCATCCAGTGCCAATCACTCAAGGTTGTTGTGATCTTTCATAATGGTGAAAATTTGAGCCAATTTCAAAGTCAATGCCTTCCAAATTGAAAGGCGTAATAATATTAAAGTTAGCACTAAAGTTTCGATTCTATATAAGATCACTATTTCAGGGTGATTTGTATACTGATTGAACCGTTGGTGCAGGTATCAGTGACTGATGGTTTGCATTAGAAATTGCTTCTAAGAAATAAAATAACTCTAGAATGAGCGAAATTAAAATAATCATCCAGTGCCAATTACTCAAGGTTGTTGTAATCTTTCATAATGGTGAAAATTTGAGCCAATTTCAAAGTCAATGCCTTCCAAATTGAAAGACGTAATATCCCAGCTAAGGGCTCCACCATGGCTGAACGGATTTGAACCAGTAGAGTGCACAGTACCCTGTACTGTAGTACAGTAAGTCATACTGTAGTACAGTACTGTAAGTGTTGATTTGACGTGCTTTTATTTGGTACTGTCGAAAATGATGGTATTGCATGGCTATAGTGCTAAATTTACAGCTTAAATGTAAAACTGAATTACGGATATAGAATCTGGAAATCAAGAGCTCCCCGTACATCTTAAAACCACATGCATTTGTGATCAATTTTGTACAAATTGATGCAAAAATTGTAATATCGAATGTACAGTATTCGGATCACGTCGTCCACTCACTGTACTACAGTACTGTACTGTGCCCTGAATTGTTTGCACTGTAGAGGTGGTAGGGTGTCCCGTTCTTTTTTGAGGGAGAAGGGACAGAGCGGAAGGAAGGAAGGACTTAAGCGAATGCAGTACAGTGTCAATGTGTTGTACACTGTTTAGCGCTCGCCGCGCCCATGAAATTGAGGTCGAAATTCAATAAGGGTAATTCGCATAGTTATGGACTGCAGATTGCCTACAATACAGCTGTATACAGTACTATGCACTATTGTACAGTACTGTTCTGTAGTAAACCATTGACTGACGCTGCCAATGCTCAAATGTGCTATATAACTTGTAGATACAGTAAGAACTGAACACTTTCTAGAAGTTTTTTTAGTCCTGATTGATGATTACACCTCCTTCCATGCTACCGCCCCAAGGTGCTTTATTACTGTACACAGTGTACAGCCGACAGGACGGGCCGACAGTACTGCGTACGGTACATGCGTAGTAGCTTGCCATGAATCATTTTCACTGTTTTGAAGCATGCGAGCTAGCTTAAAAGTACGAGCACGCGCAGCAAATTCTTCCTTTCACCTCATTGACAGGTAATGGCGGATCTGTGTGACTTTTTCTAAATTTCCTATCCTTCAATTATCTTCTTCATCAGACTATATTTTATGGGCTCCATATTAATATTTACCTTGATAGACATACTCTTTATCCTGTTGTAAAATAATGTCCAGTCGAAACGTTCAATTAAACACTTTTTTTTCAATCTTCTTGACAGACCAGCCATGGGTAAGCCTCATCAATCCCGAAATAAAGTCCTCCCAGGAGGAGCAATGTTGTACTCGCGCTCACAAATGTACCGAAAAAGGGCATTGTACAAGCGTAAGAAGGTCGGTACAAAGAAGGTTGTTCAAGAAATTGCCAAGACTATAGTAAAACCTGTTAAAGGCGATAAAAATGGCAATCAACGAGTGTTACCTGTCCAGCGTGAAGTAAGTCATGAAGATCGATTTCAACACTTTGTTCTAGACTCTACTCCTTGCTTGAGCATGTTTGCCGCTGCGAATAAATCGTAATAACGATAGATTAATGTATCATGCAGAAGGACTATCGTTTGCCGATATTCCATATTGAATATGCTCAAATGAAAGGAGAATGAGATTTTTGTATCACATCAATATCTTGTCCTCATGTCGTTTTAGTGGATAGCCTGTCTATTCTGCTGTACAACTTGATTTCACGCTATTAATCTTCAGTCAGTTGGAAAGTAGAAAGTAGGACTCATAGGATGATGTTGTTGAATCTATTTAGCCTCGTTACTACCCCACTGAAGATACCAGAAGGCCGCTAGTTAACAGAAAGAAGCAAAGACCAACTAAACTTCGTTCGTCGATTACTCCCGGTACCGTATTAATCCTTTTAGCTGGCAATCACCGTGGCAAGGTAGGTTTCGTCTTATTAGACTTACTTTGAATATTATTGCAAGATCTTCTAAACTGAAATGATATCTAATTATGATTATTCTAGCGTGTGGTATTCTTGAAACAGTTGGCTTCTGGTTTACTTTTGGTTACTGGTTAGTTGAAAGCTTTGACAGAACAGTGTTTTGTATTTTATCTCATGTTACTACTGGATGTGTGTCATATCATTTAGTTTTTGCAGTATAATGTAGCTTATGATACACATATCTTAGAAGCATTAGGTTCTTTATTTCGCTTCTAGTGGCTGCGATGAAAACAGTCGTAGTAGCCTAAACTGAAAGACATTAAGTGGTTGATTAATAGTTCACACTTAGCTGACGATAAATCCTTCTAGGCTCAGTGTCGTAACCATAAGTTGTAGTAGGATTTAATAGTGTAAGGACATCTTTAGTAATGGATAGATATTTTGTTAATCCCGAAATGCAGGTCCTTACAAAATTAATGGTGTGCCTTTGAGACGTGTCGATCAAGCTTATGTAATTGCTACTAAGACAAAATTAGACATTAGTGGTGTGAAATTGCCTGAGCGCTTGAACGATGCTTACTTCAAGAAGCCCCAAGTAAAACGTCGTAAGAATCAAGAAATGTTTGAAGAGGAAGAAAAGAAAACTGAGGCGAGTCCTGAAAAGAAAGAAGATCAAGCAGCCGTAGATAGTCAAGTCATCGCAGCCGTTGCAAAGGTTGACCAGATGAAGCCTTATTTACGTGCTCCTTTTTCGCTACGAAAGAAGCAATATCCACATGCTATGGCGTTTTAAAAAACCTATCAAACTGTTTTGTTGAATCTTTAATCGAATAAAAATGTACAGTATCGTCAAAAAGTTCTGTGGTCATTAGCCTTAACTTGGATAAATGGTGGTAGGGTATCGTACATATGTGTAATGCACGACATGCTGATTGCGTTATTCCCTGTGTTTTCAACGAAAGTCTGTTAACACAGTAGCGTTAGCCAGACGTTAACTGTTTGCAGCAATAGTCGTCTCTGTTTTTAAACACAACAGTATCACCACTTGCTCACGTTTGTAGTTCTCATTATTCCCTTCAAGTTTCTACCAAAACTGAGTGTTCCATCACTAGATAAGATTTAAATGTTTTGCGTAGATTACAGTACAAAGTTATCCTCGATTGTGAGGCCTGGTAGAATTTTGTAGATTGAATTTAAACTATTACTGTCATGGCCGATACTGCATACATTTCGAGTTGACCATCTGCTAAGCTACTAACTCTTTTGTAAACTATTATTCTCTACATGAGCACTGGCGTACTTCATAGCAGGTATGTCGTGCTGTATTTCAATCATGGTAGTATGTTAAAAATCGATAATTCATCATGAAATCAGATGGATTGTGATCTTAGTGCATGTAAGTTGATAGTAGTCATGACTCGTAGTTATTACTGCTGAAGTTTATAAATTCCATATTAATATTACTCGATAGCATTCTGTAAGTCTTTTTTAAAACCCTAGGTCCACCACTAGGCTTCCATGTACCATCTATAACGAGCTGCTGTGATTATTAACTTTGAATGTATGAACTACAAGATTGTATCGGATCCCTAATTACTTTATATCGGTAGAGCCCTTTTACGACATTGAGATGGTAGATATTATTGTAACTGTCGCTGGTGATGATTATAGTAAACTATCATAATTAGGAATGGAAATTTTCACTTACAGCGATGAACAAGTTTTTTATCCTTTCGTTAGGATCAACATATTACAAGCACTCTATTTACTCTTACAGTATACAGTAGTAGGCATGAGTAAGAGCCATTATCGTAATCAAATTTTCACATCCAACTACAAGTGAAAGAGGGCTACATGAATTAATGGATGTATGTACTATTCCGCAACTCTAGATTGCTAACAAGCCCTTTAGTACTTTACATGTAGTAGTCCGATTGCACACTTGAACTGCAATAACTACCCTCGAAGAGAATGATATTAATTTGTTGAGCAATAATTGATTCAAAGCTATGAATATTCACCTAATAGCTACTATCAAACCTAAAGCATATCGACTTTGAAATAATCCTGGCAATATATTTGTTTATTGTCCTGCAGATTAATTAGCAAAAATTCGTCACTGATGCTGAAGATTTGGGGTGGTCAATGTACTATCCACCAACCCGCATAGAATATAACATCATTAAAGCAGAGCCATGTAAACTTGAGGATGTTCCATGTCCTTATTATAGCATTCTCTTACCTCAATAATTGGAAATCAAAGGCGTTCAAAAATAGCTCGTGCAAAGTCTGGATATCGTCTCGTCCATCATATGCTGTACACTACTGCACAACATTGTCCATCCATCCCATGCATGAGCGAAAGCATGGCGGCTCAGTATGCCGTCTCTCCTTTTTAATGTCTCTAAAAAGTTGAATCGCAGCAGTTCCTACTAGAGGTCTGTAAACTGTGATAGGAAGATGAAATTCTATTCTAAATCATATCAAATTTAAATATCCAGTAGCCAACTAGTGCCTATTTATGCGCTATGTTGGTTTTGTACTACCGTTGCGCAACGACGGTATACTATTTGTATGCCATAATGAAGGGATTGATACAGTAGACTGCCAATAGGTGCATGAGGGTACTGTAGCCAACAGTCGATTGCATCAAGCGATTAATAGGCCATCAGTATTTGTAGGGTGGGCTATATACCAGATCGACTAACTCTTGACTCAGGCAGTCGATCCGTGTCCATAACTACATGGCAACGCATCTTGAAGAAGATCAAGCGATTGGAAGTTTATTCAGCTAGAATTATGGAAGTCATCTCTTCAAGTAAGGCAATGTATACAACAGTGATGCTATAACATCTTGCTATCGATAGAAATACCTTTCAAAGGACGAAAATTTTGTCACAGTCACGTTCTGCATCCATCATATATATGTCATAAAATACGACACTCATTCATCCACAGTTGTCATGGCATCGAGGACTTTTCTATTCGTTTGGATGATGCAACTTCCAGCTAACCTTTATACAGTAGGTATAAATTGGAGAGTATAGGACTAGCATAAGAGAGAGAGAGAGAGATGAAAGGACAAATTTTAGTCTTGATTGAAGTAAATTTGTAACATAGAACTCTTGTATAGGTTGAAGTTGAACAATTGCATGAGTTCAAGATTCATGGACGAATTCTAGCTTACATGACACAGTAGAACAACGGAACTATATTCAGTATGGATTGTATCCAACAAAACTTAGAACTTTTCCTTTACTCCGTTAATTCACGGACAATTTCTTGAACACAATCGTTTCTTGTATAAATTCTGCGCTCATGTCCTACCCATGATCGTTATTTGAGGACATTGTACGCACGTACAAGCAATTATTCATTCAATTGATGTTATTTCCGAGATCGTATAAGCACACCAACTACAAATTTACCTAAAATTAAATGATTTCAGAATCGGTATTAAGTTCAGTGTTGAGGTATGCATGTCCACTGAGCATTAAGAGATAGAAATTAATCGATGAATAGGTTTGAGTTGAAGCTAATTTGAAGCAGCTTACAGCTAGCCACCAGTAGAAGTTGAAGTAGCCAAGGGATAGAAATGAATCAATGAATGAATACGCGCATGAGTTTAGGTTAATTGTATGCAACTTAGAGCTCATCACCTTGGTAGGAGAGCCTATGGGAAATTGGGGATGAGATGCAATGATGAAGTTCAGTTTCGGCTAATTTTGTACAACTTTGAGCTAGTGAGCTAGATAGAAATTAACACTTGCCTTGATTCCCTACCATATCCTTCAAATGTATCACGGTAGTGAATATTACTTTTTTAATGACGTGCTACTTAGAACTAACCACGTAGATTCCTTGCTAATTCATAGGAGTCTAAAATGATGAATTGAAATTAATGATGCTTCTCTTTTATTCTAGACTTAAATGAGGCTATCGATATTTTAAAATCCATCATAAATAAAGCGGCATTTGTGGCACTGGATGGAGAATTTACGGGTACATTATTCTAATTGTCTGATTGTGTACTCTTGCGTCAATAGACTAATAAATTGCTTCATACTCTAGTAACTGTAATTTTTTAGTGCATAATTAACCATCTGCATAGAACGACGTCAATTTACCTTTACCGTAACTTCCTCTAGTTGAAAATTTTTAAATTGTTTTAATTTAATGTAGGAATTAACAGTGATGAGAGCAGAGCATTTGATATGTTCGAATCGCCTGCACAACGTTATAAGAAAATAAGTAAGGTTAGTCAATTTCGAAGCTGAGCTGCCACTTTTAAGCTTAATCTTATTTACCATACCTAATCATGACATCATAAGTATTGACATAGTATTTTAATGCTTTATTACTAGTCATTTTAAAGTAATGAAATAATAGTTCAATGACTATATTAACAACATATCCTTTTTGAGAGTTCAAATCAAAGTCCTCAGTTTTAACCATCATGTTATTATTTAAAATGATCAGTTCGCCGGTAAAGTAAATCTTTTCCGATACCTTCTTAGCTATTTGCTCATTTCGATTCTTGTGCTTGATGCTGGTATTGACAGTGATAAAATTAATTATCAAAGCAAGTTTTTAATTAAGAATTGCAAAATCCAGGATAGAATCGAATAGATATGATTAGTTACTCTAATAATGAATTACGACGTAAAGTAGCATACTGCTATAGTCATATAGTATTTACGATTTTTACGGCAGTTTCTATATTATTTATGTATATGCGATAATATACAGTCATGTTCTAAAACTGAGTATTAAATCAATTTGCTAGATTGTACAAAATTTCTTGATGATTCAATGTGGCTTATGTGTCTTTGTGCCTAATGAAGACAAGAAGAGGTATATAGACGGATTGACTATAGTTATAATACTAAGCTCTTGATTACAAACACTAACTAAATACTATGCTAAAATATCCAAGCCTGTTTTTGACTGTGTTCATCCAAATTTCATCGTATTGTGTCCAGCTTTACAGCGTTTCCCTTTAGTTTCTACATATTTCCTCAAGACGATAACAGTGGTCCAAATAAGAATGGCTTTTCTTGTCAAGTAAAAATTTATCAAATTAGATAGTATTTACACAGGTATTGACGGTCATATCTCTGTAATTGCCTGATTATAATCAGCAATTTTTACTATATATAAACACAGATTTCAAGCATCAAATTTCTTAGCCAGCATAAATTCAATTTTAATAAAGTATTCAATGACGGTAAGCTAGTTGTTAAATGATTTCAATTAGCAAGTTCCTATTTTTTATCCGACATCATAAGAATTAGAAATCAACCATCTGCTAAGCTTTATCTTTCTCAAATAATAGGAATGCCTTATCTAAACTCCATTGTCGAAGCTGAATGTCGAATGAAAATAGAAGAGAAAATGAAATCAATGTGGGAAAAAGAAGACGAAAAGTATAATAGAGCAAAGGAAAATAAATATCCGTATCAATTATCCTTTAAAATTGCTGATTCTGATCAGCAATTTGTTAAAGACATGATGTGAGTCATTAATCTTTCTATTGTATGATCACGGTGTGATTTTGCTTCAATTAATAATGATAGGGTTGTGGGAATTTTTATTTCGTAATAATTTCTTTGATGAGATGTTATATTTACATATCATTTTAGTCAATTAATTGATGAATGGCTATCTGATAATAGCAAGAAAATTCTTCAATTTCCATCTTGCTCCGGGTTAGACCTTCTTTTAGTTGCATGCTTTAGAAGCTAATGATTTGATTAAGGTTGCTCATTAAATCATATTATTACGAAATTGTACAGATATCATAGGAAAATTATTTACGAATTATTATATGCAAGGTATGAACAATTCTAGCAAAGGGGAAATAATTGTTAGACAGTGTATGTAACTGGCATTTAATTATATTTACTTACTTTTTAGGTGTACTGATAAGAACATGCTACCAGAAACTGTACGAGAAGAGAGTGTAAGCAGATTTAGATGTTTATGAATAAGCTTTAAACGTGATTAAGAAACTTACCTCTTGATAAACAAAATTAGGGTATTTATATTCTTGCAAAGAAATTGGACGAAAAAGAGAAAGCACAGGCTGCCGAAGAAAAATTTAAAACTCAATTGGTATGACTATGTTATGAAAATAACTCATTTTAGAATTGCTAGCAAACTTAATGGTAATCGATAATAATGAAGATTGTATCATTAATTTTTTCTTTTCTCTGTAATTAACGCTGATTTAGAGTAAACTTGACGATGCTGTTGGATTCTGCAAAGTTATTGATATACTTCGTAAAGCAGTAAGAAAATCTGTTTCATGAATTAACTTGTGTTTTCGTCATGCACATGTATACACAGAGTTTACTGTGCGATAGATTACTGACACCAGGTTACGTCAGTTAAATTAAAGATCATTTTGTACAGAATGTTCCGGTTGTTGGTCATAATATGCTGCACGATATATTGCATTTGGTTCACCAATTTATAGCACCTTTGCCTAATGTGAGTCTAATGATTAGGATTAACATCTCTACGAAAAGTCATGTACGATAAAGCTAATATCTGAATATTGTCAATATTTTAGGATTACTATGAATTTAAAGAAATTGTAAATACGGCTTTCCCCAAGTAATTCGTTTCTTATATGATCAAAATAACAACGACCGCTCCTTCCGTGTTCTTATATATTGTATTATGCAATCATCTAATGTACTGTAAATTCCTTCATTTCAGCCTATACGACACTAAATTGATGGCTACTACAGAACCAATTAAGGTTAGTCTCTACTTTAAAATCCTATCGTCTTCGCCATAGATAATGACATTACAAACATACAATTGTAGTCAACGTGAAAACTTTTAACATGCCTTCAGCAATGCAATATTTCTTGCAAAGCTTGTAGCTTAATATCTGCAATGATTTATGGTTCACAATGTACCGTACATGTCGTACAAGCTGTTGCAAACGTACAAGATTATTCGTAAATTGTTGTTTTTATCATTTCGCATATATTTAGACATACTTTGCAGACAGTTCTTTAGCTGCAGCTGAGAAAAGAAGTCAGAAGGAACCATTTCAAAATGTTTCAATTGGTATGAATATTACGCTATTAAAGATAAAACGTTTTATATTGAGAATTTTGTGTTATTTCTTTAATTTAGAATTTTGTAAAGAAATTGATTGTAAAGATTTTCATGAACATTATCATGACGCTGGCTACGATGCGTACATTTGTGGTACAGTTTTCGCTAGGATGCTGTATTATTATGGTAAATACGCTTGGCCACATTGATTTAAGATTATCGAATATTCTTGCTCTGTTCTTCATTCTTGAGTATAATATCGCATCAATACAACTTAGTTTGCTTTCTATAGATACTTTAACTGAAGACGAAAATGGATGTTGCAATTTACAAAGCGAAGTTCTTCAACCTTTTAATGGAAAGTATGTACACCTTGTAATATACGTACTGTGCAGATGTTTTTAGGATTATAATACACGTTCGTTTTAAGTGAGGCTAAGTAGCGTCTTTCCGTTCAATGCAGGATTAAAATGCATAGAATGCTGGACATACCCTACCTGAATTTGAGTGGAGACGATGGTACTTTAATACTTTCATATTTTTGCTATCACTAAAATAAGCGGTACAGTAACCGTAATATTTGATTTTTTCGATAACTGTCGATACAGTTCGTCCATCACGAGAGCATGTATTTGTGATGCGATTTAAGGAGCCTTGGCCTTTGAGTAAAATTGCTGATTACTTTTCTGCTTTTGGTAAGTTGACAAACAGTTACTAATTCATTTATAGCACAATAAATAATCCCTTCTGCTGTTTATTATAAGGTGGAGCGAAGCCGATGCCTGTCCCTATGGACGAAACTTCTTTTTATATCATTTTATTAAATGAAAAGGAAAGCGTAAATGGTAAATTGATAACCTTAGCACTAAATGCTATCAATTGCCATTAACCTATGATGCTTGTATAATGCACACTTTGTACTCTTATAGATCTATGCTAATTGGTCTATTTACATTTATGCTAGTTTCAAACAAGTTAGTTGGTGAATTTCAAGACTTCACCTTGCAAAAATTTGAGTCTGATAGGCTTGAAAAAACCTCTTCCGCTGCGAAAAGGAAAGCAGATTCAATAGGTATAGCAATCGGCTCTGAATTAGGTGTTAAATTCCTACACTGCATGATAAATTCCCGTGAGTTACTACCGTAAGTAATTTAAATAAATTACATACGTGATATTAAACTCTTCATTGCAGTGAATTCGCCCACAGGACAAATCCCAGCAAAGAAAGAAAAATCAGAAAGTACGGTTATTTTAATGTTAATATGCTGATATAGTGGTTCAAAATTAGCGCTAGAATGTTAGCAGGTGCATGTCTGGTACTAGTGTATAATACATTTATAAACTGTATTTGCTCTATCCTTTTGCTTTCCAGGTTCAAAGATTTTCTCAGAATCTGCAGAATGGTGAAACAATTTAGATTCCGTTTAAACAGCAGCACCGGTGCTAATAAACTAGTTATAATTTTCCATACACAACTTTATCAATCACTGTTGAAGGTAATAGGTGTAAAATATAAATAGAGACTAAATACACAATCTTTTTATCACTTTAGAAATACAGTAATTGCTGTAAATAGAATGATGTACACAATTACGTTCGAAGATTTTTAAAAAGTGTATCGCAATTGTGACGATGTGATAAATAGCTAGTTTGGAGCCCACTTGCATAGTAGCATAAAGCTTAACATTTATTGAATAAAACGAGCCAAAATGAGTTGTTTGCCTTTCTACAATTTGACGTTTAATTACAGATAATGTTATTGTATCGTGATTAAAATTGTCATAAAAGATTGACAGCGATGCGTTTTTTACACAGCTGTGGTATTTGTGATACAATAAAATCAATAGACAAAAATGGTAAATGGTACTATTAAAATCAACATGCAGCAGTTACCAAGCTAAAATAGAAGTATTAAAATTTCAAATAAATTTAGTATTATCACCCTTAAAGAATCGAAGAATCATATTATGTGTTCTTTCAAGTATAAAAGTATTTATGTTGTGTGTAACTTCCGTCGATATATGATACTATACAGGAAACATTAAGATGCACGAGTAAGCGTAGCCGTTGAATTGGTTGCAAAAACGATACGAAGAATCTTATCGGTTATAAAATGCTTAATAAAGAAATAGCACTTACTATTTAATTAAAGCACGGAAATTTTAACTTTTCATAATACAAATTAGTTCAGATCTAGGTTTTTTTTCTTAAAAACAGGCAACGCCTATCGAATGTATTTATAGTCATCAAAATTTTGCAGTCTTAGATTATCTAACGGGTACTGTTATCTTTTCGAACTGCAGTAAAGTTTTTTAGTCTTTTTGGGAGTACTTAATTGCTTTAATTCACTATCAAGTCGGTTCTACCAATAGGTTAACATTAATCTATGTACTATTAGCACCAACGGAATTCTCTTCTTGTTGAGATGCTTGAGAGAGAACACTTTCAAAGAATTTAGCTGCATCTTCATTAGTTATTTCTAGACTTTGTAAGAATGGATGTTCCTATTACGGTTACAAAGAATAAAGGAGGGTATCAATAGCTGGTAAGAAGGTGATTAGCGTCCTAGTATTTGATAAGATTTCGATGACAATATAATAAAATGAGCAATAAGCAGGATCATGCAAAGCCTACCAGTAGTTTGTCATATTTCAATCTTTTGTGAACGTCCTTTTGTAAACTGGAAATTTAAAATGATGCGTAAGATAGAGTTACATATATTAATTTCAAGACTGCACAACAGCGAACAAAACTTGTTGGAAATTATGTCTGTAAACAATTACAAACCATTGACCAATAAAATCTCGATATTCAGTTGAGAAATTCCCATCGTCCGGTAGGCGAGGTGGATCATCCATGACCACCTGTTTGAGCTGTTCAAAAGGTGTACGCCATTTGGCATAAGGAAATTTACCGGTTGATATCTCCAGCTATAATTATTACACATATACGCATATAAGAGAAATTGGATAAAGTATTGACATTATAACCAGAACTATTACATTAGTCGTCTTCTTAGGGTCTTCTTCTATTTACGTCAGGGTTAAAACTAATACATACCATAGTAATTCCAAAACTCCACACATCCGATCTAATATCATAACCACCGCCGGTATTAGTTGGGTTAATTCTTTCAGGCTATTCAAAAAGTATTCCAATGAATATATGCTTACTAACCACATCGAACAATATATTGGACACATTTACTATCAATACTTTAGGCAGCATTATCAATCTTTGGAGTATCGACATCATACTGATTGCGTCAATCTTATCATCAAATTACTTACAGCCATATATGGTTTACATCCAGCCTCTCTGGTTTTGGCTATGGAATTGACTAATTGACCACTGATCCCAAAATCGCATAACTTTACAAGGCCATTTAGGTCCAATAAAATATTTGATGGCTTGACATCTAATTGAATAAATCAAATAAAGCTAAATTAATACTATTTTATAGCATCTAAAATTACGGTACCGTATACAAAGTCAATATTGCTTTGTCAAGAATGATTCCATGTTGATTTTAATAAGGTGGGCAACACAAATACAGTATGAGATTTTAGGCTAAATATTAATTACTGATGGATTCACAACTTACCTCTATGAATTACTTTTAATTTGTTATGTAAGTAAGAAAGAGCTTTAATGACCTACAATATCAATATAAGTGATGGAGACATTGTTTCAATAATACATCATAGATTACATTCAAAGATATTCAAAAAGTAAATGCTTCATTGATAGTTGAGTAAGTGGTGTTGTATTAATCCCTGAATGCAAAACTGTATCTGCCGTGATACAAAGTGTAATAAATTATATACTCGTTCAGATACTTACACAATTCGCAAAGTAGCATAATATTGCTTCATTAAATCTTTTGGACTGTTTGAATACTTTGACATAAAATTTATCGAAAGATTCCTCCATGGATTCCATGCAAATCCAAACATCACCCTGTATAAATTGAACAAATATTAAGATATAGCTGCGAGAGTATGGAAATAATTGATTCAAGTAAGACAATTTTGTCATTGCATATTTAATAATGATTAATCAATAAGATTTAGTTCCAAAAGCATCAAAATTATCGGTATTAGTAAAATGATTTTGTCATTGGATTCCAATTTCAAGCTATAAACCTAACACGAGTGCGTTTTAATATTGTGTCTTAACAATCATGAATGTCTAAGAAAGAAATACTATCTCAACTGTTAACCTTTACTTTATCAAAAGGTTACAGTGGCTATTTTAGCATTTGATACACTTGACGCATGAAATTAAAGAACAGACTATACCTCTTTAAATAATGCACCCATAAACGAGTGCATTTTAATATTGTATCTTAACAATCATAAATGTCTAAGAAAGAATTACTATCTCAACTGTTAACCTTTACTTTATCAAAAGGTTACAGTGGCTATTTTAGCATTTGATACACTTGGCGTATGAAATTAAAGAACAGACTTTACCTCTTTCAATAATGGACCCATAAACAAATGCATTTTAATATTGTATCTTAACAATCATAAATGTCTAAGAAAGAATTACTATCTCAACTGTTAACCTTTACTTTATCAAAAGGTTACAGTGGCTATTTTAGCATTTGATACACTTGGCGTATGAAATTAAAGAACAGACTTTACCTCTTTCAATAATGTACCCATAAACAAATGCATTTTAATATTGTATCTTAATAATCATGCTACAAACCTAACACGAGTACGTTTTAACATTGTATCTTAACCATTATGAATGTCTAAGAAAGAATTACTATCTCAACTGTTAACCTTTACTTTATCAAAAGGTTACAGTGGCTATTTTAGCATTTGATACACTTGACGTATGAAATTAAAAAAAGACTTTACCTCTTTAAATAATGCACCATAAACTTTAACTGTGTAAGGACTGTCACTTGCCATCGAAACATCCAAGTCTTGCAATAAATATTTCTGATCTTTCGAACTGACATTTGCTCGGATTCTCTATAGTTTCATAATATCGGTAAAACAATCGAAAAAGTAACATAAGCGAACGCCATGATACATTGCACACATTATGGGGCAAGTAATTTTATAGTTGAACAGACAGATTAATAGAATCAACTCTCTTAGATGGTAATAGTCGTATTCTTCTCATCTTACGAATATGATGGTGAAATAAGATTACGATATAAGTAGCATTAATGGACTCAGGACTTTAAATTTATTCTTGGACTGATTTCCAAAGACGTGATGACCTATAAAACACCGTGTAAGCAATCGTGCACTATACGACTACTATCCATCGATGCAATTTTCTACTACCGTGATTGCTTGCTGCCGTATTTTAGCTAGCTATGATTTATGGCTATTTTCTAGATATTATTGATCCAATATTCAGCGTTTGTGATTGATTCTGTTTGTAGCTTCTTTGTCATATTGTACAGTATACTAGTAGTATGGAGCATTGATTGAAGATTAATTACTAGACATGTTTTCAACGACATCATGATTCCTAAACGTCAGTATCGTCTTGTTTGTAACAACAATTCAACGAGACATTGATGATAACATGATGACTAAGCCAGTATTGTTATTCTTCATTCAAGATGAATAGTTGTACTAGAAAAGATTGAGAATTGCAATAGACAGAAGTTTTGACTGATTTCCATAGTGTAAACTATTTGGTCTAGAAAAGAATGATTGAAAGAGATTCTAATGGAGTTTTACAAGAGACAGTATTACGGTGTGCTTTTTTGGGGAAAACTATCGTTACCATTTTGGTAAGTTGGAAGAGGAGAATACTGAGTCGTTCTACCAGTAGGGTTGAAACAATTTTGTTCATGATATGAGCGATTTTCATTAATAACAGTCATTCCATTGTAAGCTTGGATAAGATTATCTATATCATGAGGAATAACATATGCGTACAGTGCACATCATCTTTACCTTAACTGCCATAATGACTCCACTGGGACGATGACAAACTTTGTGGACAACACCAAATGCTCCACGGCCAAGCTCACTTATAATTTGTAAATCGGTGGCATCGCAATCAAATTCCTATAAAAAGAATTTATTAATCCACTACCCATGTTAGTTGATAAGCGAGAAAAGTAAAGTTGAAATCGATCAAAATTGATAATTAGAAGTCAAAGGGGTGTCTCAATGGACAATTCAATTAGGAGTAGCAGTTTGAAGCAGACATGTTACTTTGGTGCTAGTAAAGTAGATTAAATCTATCAAGGCTATTTTAATAACAAGTACTAAGGAAAGGCCAGGCACAAGAAGAGTTTACTTTATTCAACATGACCAACTTAGCGCCTATCATTTACGACGGCGGCGATCGTTGATGCTAGAATGTTCATTATTGACAGGGCCGTATCATGGATTGACAAGGAGCTCTTCTCTTTTCAAGCGGCTGTCAACCCTTGCATACTGAAATCGGTATCACAGACATGAAATAAGCACAAAAACTAACCCTGTTGTTGACGATTAATTTTGCGGTGGAATCCAGATCTCTTGGTGGCCTACAATGGTTACAAAATGGAAGGAAAGATCATGTTCAAATGATGGGTGTAAAGTGAAAGTTTATTGATGGTTGTGCGTCAAAGATAGCATGCCGGTTGATGGGTGATTCGTTATTCTACTATTATGGTTATTGAATTTCTATCATGAACCATCCATGTCCATGATTTATAATAGCAGAATAGCATAGACCAATGATGATAATACGTCCAAGATTGATATCTACTAATATAGCATCATGACTACTGTCCATGAAGAAGATATTGATCCACTTGGCGTTACAAGTAATTTTCATCCTCGTCATAGACAAGTCAATTGTCTATGACGACGTGATTCAAGCTGGTAATTAAGCGATTCTTCCTAGTATAACCTAGACTATATCGACCTACCTGGTATGATCCATCTCTTTATTGACTTGATCAATCTTATTAAAATTCAACTTGGGATTTTTCCGTCCTAGAAAAGAGTATCCGCGCTGTTTAATTTGGTTATCACTTGCGATCAATGATTCATTTCTATCATGATGATAATCTCTTGGCGATTGTATTCTACTGATCTGTAGTATTGCGATTACAAACTGCAATGATACACCTACAGTGATGCATCTCGGTTGTGAAAAGTTACTTTTGAAGACGATTGGATCGACTAGAAGAAGAGGATATCAAAGTAGAGGCCGGCAAAAGGGCAATCCAAATTGTATCCTCTTGCATTCTCCATGATCGATCGAGTGGAGAGAAATGACTGGCCGGGTACACCGACAGTAGTGTATCCCAAACCAGTGTGTAACCTGATACTGTATACGTCAACAATTCAATGACTTGGCCTCGTCTACGAAGACGTTTTCCTATCCGCTCATCTCTTACCTGACATGATGGCTGTTTTGAATTGGCTTTTTTTCCACGTAAAATACAATCAATATCCAATCGACGCTAGTCACCAATACTATCAATGATGGAGTCGCCCAAGGCCTGAAGATCGCTCTTAACAGCGTCCTACTAGCCTCAAATCAGTAATTGCAATGCGTGCCAACAGCCAACTAAGATTGAAAATGGTTGGAAAATGGAGTCAACTAGAAAGCAACGAACGACTCAACCCCCCAGCAGCCAGCCAGTGGTGGGTACGACGGCTGACCGTCCCGTTCGGTCCGTACCGGAAGGCACCGTGCCCACCCAGCTGTAGCCGAGTGCGGATGTTATCGTCTCGACGAAAACCATAGTAAATCCCGTATAGAAAAGATCAGTTTGAGTAGGTAATCGTCCATCCAGTTTGGATCTTGCTTGCCATCAGTCCGCACCGCAGTGTACCGGGCCAACCAAGCTGTAATCGAGTGGGGATGTCATCGTCTCGACGAAAACCATAGCAAATCCTGTATAGAAATGATCAATTTGAGTAGGAAATCGTCCATCCAGTTTGGGTCTTGCTTGCCGTCGGTCCGTACCGGAGCATACCGTGCCCACACAGTTGTAGCCGAGTGGGGATGTCATCGTCTCAACGAAAACCATAGTAAATCCTGTATAGAAATGATCAGCTTGAGTAGGCAATCGTCCATCCAGTTTGGATCTTGCTTGCCGTCGGTCCGTACCGGAGCATACCGTGCCCACACAGTTGTAGCCGAGTGGGGATGTCATCGTCTCAACGAAAGCCATAGTAAATCCTGTATAGAAATGATCAGTTTGAGTAGGCTATCGTCCATCCAGTTTGGGTCTTGCTTGCCGTCGGTCCGTACCGGAGCATACCGTGCCCACACAGTTGTAGCCGAGTGGGGATGTCATCGTCTCAACGAAAAACATAGTAAATCCTGCATAGAAATGATCAGTTTGAGTAAGCTATCGTCCATCCAGTTTGGGTCTTGCTTGCCGTTGGTCCGTACCGGAGCGTACCGTGCCCATACAGTTGTAGCCGAGTGGGGATGTTATCGTCTCAACGAAAACCATAGTAAATCCTGTATAGAAATGATCAGTTTGAGTAGGCAATCGTCCATCCAGTTTGGATCTTGCTTGCCATTGGTTGAATGCGGGCCCCAACCCCAACCCTCCAGCTACGGTACTTTCCAAGAGGAATATTGACCGTACTGTACACTGTACACTGTACACTCAACGGTGGTATTATTTGTAGAGGACAGTATAGAAATTCTTTATGAGTTGCGGGTTGGTCGTGAAAACTCTACGGTGGCTGTCAAACAAGTAAGAGCTTGCAAGTAAAGTAGTTTGCCTATCATTCAATTGGACTCTATTTCTATCCATTGACTACAGTACTGTCGAGTGTCGAGGTTACTAGAATCGTCAGAGGGGATCGGCAAGGCAACACCGACTGGCAGGGTTTTAGTGCAGGCGGGTGCCTGGCAGATCCTCTCTATAGTGACTGTGTACAGTACTAACTCACCACAAGGGTGTGCCCTGCTCCAACACCCGACGTGGGTGGGGTCTTGCTCATCGCCGCCGGCAGACTTGGTGTAGGCAAAGCTGCCATAACAACCTTGCAGTGGATATCCAAATTTCTGCATTTTCAATCATCAAGCATTTGATCGATAAAATTGCCTTCATTGCCTCTATACTATAGAGGTAAGAGAAATAGCTCTTCTCTTACCTCGATGGGATACAGACAATGAGTGTAGATACGGACTATTCCAATTCAACTCGATCATAGGACAGTGTTGGTTCATGGCGTTGGCATTCCCTTCCGGGAAGAAAGCCATTGAAAAAGTCTCCCATTCCAATGGATGTTGTGTCATTGTCATAGATAGTCCTAGTATACAGCCAATCCCTTTATTGTCCATCTACTGTAGGACTGCAGTTTATTGACTGAATATGCATCCAATGAACGACTGCCTGGATGATTTCTCAGGCTTCTCCACCGTGATCGCTTACCTAATGTCAGGTTGTCGTTCGTTCTTCTTCGTGTTGTACCATCTCTTGTTCATTCAACAAGCAGGTTAGCAATTTGAGCTGTAATAGTATATGATGATGGATAGTGGGATGGCACTACCGAGTTCGTCTACACTACTCGTGTACAAGGGCCCTTGGTAGCACCTGTAGACAAGCTCTAGGCAACGTCGTCAGTTCCTAGTAACAGTAGATCTTAAGCATCGACTATGCTAGTGACTTGCAAACACCGTTGGAACAAGGCTCGATGCCAATGTTGACAAACATGCATTTACTTATGAAAGTGCCATCTAAAATAAGACTATGTACTACGACTATATAGTAGTATAAACGACACGTACTTATGCTTAACGACTCTTGTCTGCATCGAGATGAGCTCTGATCATCTATATTCTATATACAAACAATGTCTAATCCTATTTCTACAAATATGTCCATGTAGCCCGATTTGCAATGGCAAAATAAGAAACGAGGCTGCTGATTTAAAAACATCCATTCTATGGATAGAGCGGTCATATGGATAGATATTCTATGCATAGAGCGGTCATAGGCTACAGGTTGATTAAGGAGGTCAATGGACACAGAGAGGGGAGGAGATTTTAAACAATTTTACTCCATCGGACACAGTGGATAACTCTTTAAGTTAATATACACTAGACCACTGACTACCAGTCTGACAGTACCGCATCTGGCCATCTGCTGACGATAATGACTGCTGGACTACTGCATGACTACAATCGATTCTAGCACCATTTCTACCCTACTGCTTCCTACCTACTGCAGCTCTATACTGGTCGATAGCATGAGCTTGTAATCAATTGAGCCTAGAGGTAGAAAAGGCTTTGCAACTTTTGTTTACTTCTCAAGAGTAAACCACTCCAATTCGGTCATGTCTAACGAACAGTAGGAGTAGTAGAAGTTAAGCCATCATCATCCTATCAACCCTTATCCTAATAACAAATTTCCAGCCATCATGGCATTGTATACCAATCCTTTCCTGATTCTTGCTACATCTGCTGCTGTCATTGCATGTTTGATCTACCAAATCAAGCTACCGGCGACCCCTCGACAGGCAACCGATGATTTCCTCCAAGATTTAGGTCAGCTAGGCATAGAAAAATGGTCGACATAAAATGTTTTATTCTTGCAGTAGAGGCTAACGGTCATGGCCGCGCTAACTAGCTCTATCCAATTCTTTTTCGTAAGACAGTTTTATACTCGTACCTTGATATTGAACAAATTATCCCCGATCAACATTGTCATCTTCAGTCATTCAACTTACTCAACACTCTCCTTCCATCGAGAAGCCCTTCGTTACTCTCGAAGCTTGCACAGTAGTCATCCATAATTTATTGCTAGTCACCACTCTTGAGTCATTTCGACTACAGGCATGCTAAAATAATTTACTAAACTATTGCAATTTGTAGCCACAATCCACTGCACACTTGACTTGTTCATTCTACTGAATACATCATCAGTCCGACGTTTTAAATGATCTACGGATCTTCCCAACACGGTATTTAAAATCACTGTTACTAACTGTATACTATCGACGTTTACGAAGCTTCCAATGATCGTTATGATCATCACCAAGTTCTAAAATAGTTCCTTGTTCATATTCTTGCTCGTCAAATAAACAACACGTACGTGTACGTAAGCAGGAATAACGTTTACTGTTCTCACCTTCTCCATCTTTGTAATTAAAGCATCTTCAAATTTGTAAACATCCACCTCCTGTAACCTCCTTCATCTATTTAGCATTCACAATAGAAAACCTCCCACTAGTGACCAGCACTGTTCCTTCATTTATTTTTTCATCACTTTCTAGTCAGCACCGTTGATTGTCCATCGACTGCATCGCAAGGCTTTTTCAATCTGTAATATGACGGAATGGTGTGACTATTTAGCATTCTCCATACATAACTTCCCACCAGTTACCATTTATTTTTCATCGCTATCTAGTCAGCACCGTTGATTGTCGATTTTCTGTATCGCTAGGCTTTTCGATCTATAATATGACGAATTGCTTGGTTATTTAGCATTCTCCATATATAACTTCCCACCAGTTGCTATTTATTTTTCATCACTATCTAGTCAGCACCATTGATTGTCGATCTACTGTATCGCTAGGCTTTTCGATCTATAATATGACGAATTGTGTGGCTATTTAGCATTCTCCAAATATAGTTATAATTTCCCACCATTTGCCATTTATTTTTCATCACTATCATTCTCCATACATAACTTCCCATCAGTTACGATTCATTTTATTTTAATCACTTTCTAGCTAGCACCGCTAATTGTCCATCGACGTACTGCATCATTAGGCTTTTTTCCAACCTGTAATAGGATGAATTGTGTGGCTTATCATTCGTTGATGCTCATCAGCCATTACGTATAGCTACAATTTAAATCGGCCAACACTGTAGCAGCACCATCCATGAGAAAATTCATTTACGCTAAGAAATGAAAGGATTATTTGATCCACCATATAGTTATTGCCACGCAGGTGACCGCAATGGGACTTTAAAGTAGCAAGCACAGAAATGCCTTTCAGTGTTAGTATCATATGGACACAACAGCTAGACTCCATGCTCAAAAATGCATTTCTTTAAACGATATACAGTATATATCACGTATCAACATAACAGAGTATTCCTATATTAATATCCAATATTCTACTACAAACGTACTACAAATATTGTGCTATAATATCTAATTTTGTAATACTGAAAAATAGACAATACTTTTTAAGACTTTTGCTTATGCCTAAGAAAATACTTAAAAAACACATTCGATTCGCTTCCATGTCATAAAGTACATAAAGGCACTAGATTAATAGATCATTTCGAACTGCAATTTCAACCTCTTTTACCAATACTATAAGAGTACTACAAAATGAATGAGCCATCAGCATTCAAAGGAATAGCATTATCTAAACTAAGACGAAAGAAGTCTTTCAATATCACAACGTTCTTGCTCATATTGCTGTATTTTTAACGTTTGTTGTAGACATTGTAGGTCATCGTGCTGGCGGTTATGATGCTCCTGAGAACAGCTTGGAAGCCATTAGGATGGCTAAAAAAAATGGAGCCGCAGGGATAGAAATTGACCTAGCTTTCAGTAAAGATGATGCTGGTGTCTTAATGCATGATCCTTCACTTGGTCGGACTACAAATGGCCCCAATGTCGATGTAGATCAATTGACATTAAAGCAACTAAAAGCGTTAAATGTGACAGTGAATGAACGATTAAAGTAGGTCCAAGTGTTGACAATGATACGTAAAGGATCGATTGAGGCCAACTCTACAATTTTATATCGATATCACCGTGCAATAGTTTCCTTCTACCTAGCCAATTAAACTTTACTCAACAAGTAAATGATACTTTCGCTGATCTTGCTGTATTCAGTTTATCGTACAATTTTATTAGCTCATTAGCTTACCTTTGCTTAACGCATGAATGGCATATATTACTGTATAAGCATATGATATGTTAATAGTTAATAGTTCAATGATCTAACCACTTCAATGTTGATTTTTCGTCTACTTCTCTCAAACTACTCTGCCAAATGTACGAAAATCTATGTTGAAATGGTTGTGGTCTAAATTAACCAGTTACAAAAAGCAAACAAATTATTTCAGAATAATAACTCGTTTCATTCAGAAATCATGTAGTGGAGTATTTGCAACATGCCCGCGTAAAATTTTAGCCAAATGATATCGATAAACAACAGATATTATATTAAATCATGGCTAATATGTTCTATGTGTCCATAATTACAGAAATCGATTTGATGAAGTAAAGATACCAACAATTGAAGAAGCTCTGAAAGAAGCTAAAAGATTAAAACTTAAAGTTATCGTTGATGTCAAAGGAGAAGCGACGAAGGTAAAAATGATATTTTGCCTAAGTGTAGATTATAATGCTGTCTTTATACTGAAATTAAAATGTAATGGTAATGTCAAGTTGCCGATAGCTAGCATATTATGCAAAATACGATAGGTATGCCTTTAAGACTTTATGCTGTTCTAATATGTGCGTATTGAAGGCTGTAGACAATATTAGCCTAAGATGCTTAAAGATTCTATTCGTTTGTTCCAATCGTTGCATTCTTACTACTCCTGCAGTATTCAAGTTACTGAACTTGTTATTAACTTGGGTTATAATTTACATATATTTGATTTGTAGACTGCTGACGCATTGATTCCACTCTTCGAAAAGTATAACTTATATAAAGAAGCGATTGTTACTTCATTTAATCCGTTAGTAGTCTACAAGGTAAGCTCAAAACGTATTCCTAAAATTTTGAATGAAAGGTATTAAAACTTCTCTATAAATTAAATCTTTAGGTACGCCGTAGAAATCCACGAATCATTGGAGGCATTATTTATTTCAGTTATTTCGTAACTGATTTCTTACAACGACGCAATCGATCGGCTACGATTATCAAACTAGCTACTCTACTAGACACTTTTATTTATTGGAGCTTTTATAGCTGGGCTGTTCCAATGACAGGATCATCGATAGTGTCAATACATAAAGATATAATCTCTAGGTAAGTGACAGTAGGACAAGGCCCAGTTTGGGTTAGATGATTTTAAAGATATTGTTTGGTCAATTTCTTACCTACAAGGACTCAATTTTAATATATTCACGTTACATTAAAAATAAATTAATCATGACAATATTGCTAGAGCTTGATACCAACATTGAACCTATTTGAAGATGTAACTAATTAATCAATATCTATCCTTTCGAATCGAACAGCGAAGAATTGCATTACTGGAATTCTCGAGGTATCAGCGTAATGACATGGACTGTTAACAGTAAAATTCAGAAGCAATATTTTAACCAATACTTAAAGATACCGTACATGACTGATTGTATACGCAAAGAGGACGACTGCTCTCGTTAGCCACCGTGGTAGTAAACATGCTAACTCTAGAAAACTTCCATAATAATAAAGTATCACTTGCACTCATAACATTCATTGACACCTAAATATTTTTGAATCACATTTTATCCTTCAATAAATTATTGCCATACAATATAAGAACGTTAAATTGATCAGTACCAAAAATAGTAAATGATAGAATTAATACTTGCTATATTTTATCATCAAATTCTTATATAATGAAATAGCATTTAGGAGTATTATAGAAGCTATACTTTATAAATAGGAAAAAATGGATGAACGGCAATATATAAACATTTTATGTTATCGTAAGTGTTCAATATACGTCTGTATACTGAAATGGTAAAGTGTTTAAGCGTTACTGTTCCATCTTTGCGAACAATGCTTCAATTAAACCATTGAAATTAATCAACTTGTATCACAACAAGATTAATATTGCTTTTCAAACAGTAGTTTGTAGGTTCATCGTTGCAATTGTTCAACGAAACTATCATAAGATAGTTTATTAATTAATCTCTTATCATTTAATATTAAAAGAAATATTTTTCCTTAGAACTTTTTTAAAGTAAAATTTAAGAAGAAATCTACCATGCAATAGTATATTCAATCTTTATCCGTGATCTATAACTGCAATGAATCTCAGTCTTGTATTTACGAAGAATTTCGTCAACCATAGCAAAAATCATTCAATTTCTTAAATATAAGTGGCTATTGCCATAGAAATTGATTTTTGATAGTACCGTAGGCATAATTCAATAACAGTATCACGATCTGATAGCAACCAGGACGCAATGATATATCTTACTTTTGGTCTTAATTTGAATAGGACAGATTTTAACTTAAATTTAAATTAGATTCTTACGAATTAAATTTTATCATTCCATTAGCTTTTAGTATAAACGTAATAATTTATCTTCTGAATTTGTTCAATAAAGACAAATAACAGAATGGTATGAGGTCCAATTCTTGTCCAAGCTGGTATATAGCCCTGTGAACGAAATCAGTAGTCTCTTAACAACTGACAATTATCCTTAATCATTAAAATAGGATTGATTTCATGTTGTTATTATGCCATAAGAGAATATACAAAGCAATTAAAAATCGCTCATGCAATCAAGACAGTAGCCCCTTGTTTTAAGAAAATTATGACACTACTATTACAATATACCTTATAGAAAGCTTTAGGGCCCAATTTCGCTGTTTTAACTGCACAATCTAAGAAATTCTATATCAAGTAGATGCGAAAATAATTTTAAATTCTAATCATCATATCCATGAATGTTAGTAACAAACCATAGTCGTATACGAGATATCCGTTAGTACCTTATATTGCCCATGTTCAGCGTTTTGTAATCTTGTCTTTAAGACATCAAAAGGTTGTGTGGCTGCAGTAGCAACAGTTCCCTATTCCAGTTAAACAACACGGATGATTAATTATAGGAGATTCTGTAGGTAACAATCGACATAAAACATCCAAATCGCTTACCGAGATAAAACTGGCCGTAAAGTGGGTAATGAGATTGTCCTTAAAATAGCTACAATATTAAAATAGGATGAACATTAGAGTATTATAACAGTGCGGAGATAAAGTATTACAGCAGTTGCTCATCGCGACAAAAAATGCTTTAGTTTATTTATATATCGAATAGACAGATACAATTTCAATGACTGTTATCTTATTATTAGAATCAATTATTGTTCCGTATCTCATATCCTTGGTAGTTAACCTACCCAGTGCCGATTAAATTCTCCTTAGATTGATAATAAACAGCGGCTTGTGCTACCGTCATCAAAACTGAACGCATAATTGTCATTGAGACTCCATTGAATAAAGTTAGGGCACCCTCTAATAGGATTGAATATCAACAACAATAAATCTATTTTAGTTGATGAACTTTACCAACACAACAATTTAGCTATATTAATAGCGGAATCAATCACTATACAATTATACAAGCTAAATATATTAATGAAAAGTTTAACTTAGCTTATTTTAGCATAGTATTAATATTATTGTTCATTTTCTGTTGGCATTACTATTCACTATAAGCTATCAATTAGGATTATTAATTACCTTCCGCGGTGATTCTTTTCATACCATCGAAGAAATTTTTGTAGCTATGATGTTCAAAAGATATAAAAAGGTAACATTAACAAGCAGGCATTAAGATGTAAATAAGGAAAACCATCTTTACGTCCTTATTAGGAATTGTATACATGAATTATATTGAGGATGGATTGTGCAATAATTACTACAACAGCAGTTTATATTGATTTAGAATTTATTCTTGTATGTAAATATACATCCCGACGCCAAATATTTAAAAATAGACATCTATATCCTACTCGTGTGAATTCTTTTCAAATAAGTTACGAATGATATGTTTTGCCATGCATCATCGCTTCCAACACTAGAATGCCCATATACTTATTAATTTTAAGTTGATTGCGCAATATTTATCATAACAGTCTTTCTCACTGACGCAAAACTGTAGGAGTTATATGCTTACTACATATTATTACTACTGAAAATGTCATTTCCTATTTCCTATTTTCTATTGGTATTAGACTCGATTGCGTAATAATCACCCATTAAAAAGAATCAACGTTGCTATACTAGTACTTGTAAGATATATAGTACGCCTGTAAATAGAACAACGACAATTTCTGAAAACGTCAATGAGTAAGGATAGAGTTTATGTGAATTTTTTTTAAAATACTAAAATTATCGTATAGCAAATCCAATAAATGATAACAATGATTTCTCGTAACTAGGACAAAAATTAATAAGTTATTCATATTTAATGTACTACTATCTGCTGTCGATAATCATTACAAAATGATTAGTAATATGTCGATCGAGGTTAATCTACTTACTTTCTTCTTTGATCAACAGGCAGTTTAACATCATTTTGCATTCTAATAGAAATCAATCAAGAAACCAAGGAATTAAATTACATTCAAATTCGGCTATTCTTTATACGCAGCGAAGTTAGAAATCGTTGTAATATCGTAAGCTACACAATAGGGATGGTTAAAACTGGTGAATTTTTGATGGAAAGACTGACAGAGAGAGGCGAAAAAAAACTTTCAACAGTATTTACCAACTATAATAATCTTATTTGCATCATAATCATCATAATTGATGTTCAAAGATGGATGATGGGCGCTGTCCTTTCGGATCTATCATGAATTCATTCAACAATAACCTACGGCAACTTGTTACTATTGCGTGTGTTAATGCGTTTCGATACTATTCTCTCGAGCTAAGCTAATTAATAGGGAGGAAATAGGATTTTATTATTTATTGTGTAGACTGAAAACGTATGGGCCCTAATACAGAATCGTTGAATTTAAAACGAGGCTGTCAAGAGTACATCACTCGTACCAATTGCTGTCATCTACTATAGACACTTGGATGATTTTACCATGACTAACTATTGAAAACGATAAATCAACGCGGAGTAACCATGACGCAACAACCAGTAAATTAAACTATGTTTCTATTCACATCATTTCGTTTCATATAACTAAAGCCATTCAAAATTTCACCTCCATGAATAAAAAGAATTCGTTGATATAGAAATGGGTAACATTACCGCGCTGCAATATATCAGTACACTGCATTTCCTTATCGTTTTAAATAAACTTAATTGATTCCTATAAGATGATCATGTACTGTATACTGGCAAAAGTGCTACTATTAAATAATGTTTTCAACGCGGGGAATAATCATATCGGAAATGGTAGCGTAAACTATTTCTTCTGATTGACATGTTGTAGACCACTGTAACACCCATCGCCATTGAATGTAATTAATAGCCATGTTAATCAATTTGTTTGATATCGTTTACTTTACTAATTGGAATAAGGCGATTTACTTTTCTACGACGGAAGAGGTTTACAGCTATGTACAGATCAGTATAGATAAGCAATCAATCAAAATGTGACGTGAATAGAATAAAAGTGATTCTTAAACAATAATAACGAGAGGGGCAGACAAATCAGTTATTACCAACAGCGTTATAGAAAATAAAAATCTTAAACATAAAAAGAAAAACGAAAAGAACTAGTTTAAATCATTCCGATACATCGATGTATAATAAGATAAGTAAAAGTGAAAAACATTTATTTCAGCTTACCTAACGTTGATTAAATCTGGTGGATTACCAACAATGCCACCAATAGTACCTAGTACGGAAATGAAACAAAGAGTTGAATAAATAAAAGTACAAGAAAAGATGTTTAAACTGAATGGCTGCATGAATTTCCTTTCTTTCACGATTATTATCGAATAAATTAAAAAAAATAATCGTATCCATTATTTGCTATAATCCAGCAGCTGTTGACTAATAGCAATTAAATTGAGATAGCGCGTGCTAGAAATGATGACGCTAATTTCATCCCATCATTTTTACCTAACTTTAAAGGATTGCATCGCTAGTAAATTTAAATGACTAAAATTTGTTTGGTGCAGTCTGCTATTTTAAGGGGCAATGTCATTCATTCCTATTTTCTTCATTCTGCTACCACTACTCGTGGTAGTTTATTTACTATGTTCATTTATCATCTTAAATAATTGATCGCCTAGCTGTAAATTACTAGAATTTTCTTTCATTCAGGGATAGAATTGAAATTAGAATGTAGCACTAAGTAAAACTGATTTTTTTTCAATCATTATGATCTCACCTCCAGCGGCTCCAAGTAACATTTTCTGAGTGAAACTTATCGGTTCATCGGGTGATTTTTGAATGCGTTTTTTCAAAGCTTCGAATACGCCAAATCGAGTTGTTGTGTAGGATAACTATGCCGATTTTAGAAGAACATTTGAAATGAATATTCATATCAAAAGAGATTCGCAGGTTATCAATTGATTAGGAAGTGAAATTTATTCAACATTAACAATTTTAGGTCATTGCCGATTACTGTAAAAGAATTAGCAGCGGCATTTTTTAAATTTTCGTTCAAGTGTATGCTTCTACTAGTATGTAATCAATTGATGACTAAGCGAATCTAGATATTGGCGTGAAATAATAATAATTTAACACGATAATTACCATAGCATCTATACCGCGCCTTGTAGCTACAAACACAATGTAGTATATGTGAAAGATAACATTGGTAGAATACTTTCAACTGTACGTAATATGATAAAATCAAAATTCATTACATTACAAGATACTAAGATCTCGGTGAACTTTCCAACTTACTTCTCTAATCGGTGCAAAGTCAACATGTTAAGTTAAAAATGAATTTTTTAATGAATGCATGATAATTTTGCGGAGGAGTAACGATGGAGGTGTTGTCTTAGATAAATACTTTATCGTACAAAGGGCTGCCGACTTTCTGTGATCATTTTGTTGTATCCGATCAAAGTTTAAAGTTTCTTAAATGGAACACAAATTGAACTTACTTGACGAGCAATGGATGCCGTTAAACCGTTGTACAAAGCTCTCGAGCCTTGTGTCTTGACAATTGAGATTGCCATGTTGCTTGCTCCAGTAGCGACAGATTCTTGTGTTTGTAGATGGACCTATTATAAGGATTAATGTTATTCTGTTAAGGGCGATTTAGGCAGTTTTCTTGCATGATTACTACTGTATATATAATACAGTAAGTAAAGCGAGGGATATTTTCAGGTTGATAAAACCAATTCCTTCATAGACTGAACATTAAACTCCTGTTAATAGGTTTAATTTATGTTGAGAATGATTAGAAGAGGGATGGAAAAAGTGAATTTTTAAAAATTTTGAACTGTTTAAGGATTATACTCTTAATAGTCTCCATCGTTTCTAGCTGGTCAATTGATAATTTAAACTATAGATTCAAAAAATAACTACAAGAAAAGTGCAATGTGATAACTAGTATTAAATTAATTCAGTCATAATGTGCTGTCGTTTTGGTTGTAATTTCCTGTAATCATTTGATCAGTGATTATGAAATTGCTGAAAAATTAATATGATGGTCATTGAGAGATTATTCTATTCACGCATGTATTTATAACCTATAGTTTTGATTTACAGTACAGTGATTTCAGGTATTCTGGATGATGAGAGAACAAAATTAGGTTATAGCAAAGGAGAAAAAATTCATTCATATTAGACAGTATTGGCTTTGATGCTATTTTCGTGGTAAGTACTACCTTACATCGAAGTCAATCACTCTGACATGCTCTTCTATGTTAGCCTACTACGATGTAACTATCCTAGAGAATCTTTTCAATCACTTCTGCTTGTATTTATTGTATCGGTTTCCTGTAGAATTCAAAACTAAGGGGAGAAATTGGATCAAGTTCTCGTATATACAGTACCGTACAAAAGAGGATGAAATCATGCTGATGAAAGACTACATGACGATAGCAGACATAGAGAACTTTGAACATTTTTTTATCAGCCCAATAGAGAACTTTGACTCTTTATGAAATGCATTTCCTTCATCTTCATACCTTAATTAAGTCCAATGGATGAGTGAAACAGACTGCAATCGAGCCAGCAATACCGCCATCATACCATTTGGATATTTTCTTCTTATTCATTCCCATGGTCAGGTAGAATTTCTTGCGACTTTCTGTGCAAAAGGAATGATCGGGAAAAATTGGCCAGCTGATAACGAAATGGATGACCACGGGTAATGCGAATGAATTAATTGGGTCTAGCGTCGAGTCTTTTTAAAGTAAACGATTCAAAATTTTTTTTTTATCTAAACCTCTATTGTCTCGAATTAGATAGTGACACAGTGTGGCTATTGTATAGCGGGCACACCTCCAAATTGTGCGATAATAACAATAGGAAGAATTCAACGTCATTGCTAACCCCACCCCTTTTGAAACAAAAAACAAGATATAAACCGGTTTGGGCTGGCATTAGCATAATTGAAAATACCGTGAGATGGAGCTGCCATGCCAACAGTGTCGTTAAGCCAATCAAGACTAGGCAAAATATCGAATGTTGCAATTCATGTCCTTCTAGAAGTACTAGTCTAATCTAGTCTTGCCTCTAGTCCATTCTACTATTATCGCGTTGGATTGCGCCCTTTCTAGGTCATTACGTGTTCAAATGACACAAAGATGATGTTGATTGAACTCTGAAAGTTTAATCCAGTTTATGTCCTCTCGTTAAAAATGATGAAATCAGACTTTTTTCGCCTCATCTCATCATCCTAGGTACTGTAGCGGTCTCTCAACTTCAGTCCTGCTTAGAATAGTAATTAATAAATGGACAAATTTGCATCATACTGCCTAGAATTGTTATTTTCGGGCCATCGCTGCTTGATAGCATGGCGCTCGATGGATTGCGTCAGAAAAGAAAAAAAATTTTTTTTTTTTGAATGGATGAATGACTGTCTAGACATTACAGGGCACTGTATAGAATCAGTGAGATCGCTCATACGTTGATAGTGTAATGTTAATTTGCTGCCTCATAACCATGAAGTGTCTGCCCGTAGCTTTGCTAACTAATCCAGTATCGGAATGGCTCAACTACACTCAGTGTGGGGGCTGTGGGTCCGCCCCATTGAGGGCGCTGTCAGCACATGAGCAAACTTTTTTATTTATTTTTTTCAAATTCATTAAATGTAGCAGAAAAGTGAAGGAAGCCGCCACTTGGTGCAAATATTGTTTCATCGCAGCGAACTAAATTCAATATTAGACTGTACAATTGACATAACTAAACAGTTAGCATAAGGTTTTAATCCTGTAAGATGGCTGTTAAGATGGCTGTTAAGAAGGTGGAGAAACTCTAGGTATGAGGATTGATCATCTCATGTATGGAGATGAATAACGTGGATGATTGCTGGATCGGTTCATTCTTTTAGCTGTATGGATTCCCGTCGATGGGATTCATGAATTATTCATTCCAAAGTTATGATACTGGGAATCATCCTTTCATTGTCACCGACGGCCAGACTACCCCTGCCCTGATACCCTTGCTAAATTTGCAGTCTAGCGTCTAATAATCTTGTAATACGATTGTTCAATTTTCCTACTGTCGAATCAAATTTAAATTACGCTATTCAGGCTATTTATTTATTTTCAATTTGAATTTCTCTTGATGAGCACATCATGCTGAGAAGTACCCGGAATTGCTGACTACCAGCTGCGATTACGTACTGTCATCCTAGTGTTATCACCAGGGAACAAACCTGCACATGTTGCAGAAGATTAAGCTATGATGTGGTACAACTTCTGCTGTAAAAGACGCTAGCTTGCGCTGTATGAAATATGACGATATTAGTTCACAGTTTGCCAGTCGATGCCAGAGTTCTAGCCGGCTCAAAGTCACTAGTTTGTACTTTCAGTCTAAACGTTAAGATCAAATACCATTTCCTGTTGCATTATCATAATCGCTCCCTACAGTACTTCTCGGAACTAATGATGTAGGTCAATGCCACTAAAACAACAGTGAATAGTTCTTTATTGCTGTTTTTCCAGCGTATACTTACTGCAAGCTATGCTGCCCTGTAGTCAAAAACTACCAAATTATCAGCACCCATGTTCGCGGTTGTAAACTTTATTCCGGTTAGTCTGCAATCATGCTCTACTTCTATTTTATCTGCCTTGTATGGCCCATACCATTTTACCCATACAAAGTCTTATGTCAAATCTCCAATAGTAGTGCCTACTGTAAAATGCTCATTCTGATATCGTCATTAACAGTGACTACGACGCATCACGAATGTAAATCGTATTACTTCACATCGCAAATAAGCTAGCCGGAATACAATAATTATTTTGGTGACGAAAATAGTAAAATAATTTTGGGGCCGTAATTAAAGATTGTACTATATTATTACTAATAGTTGGATGCATTTTTAAAGAAATAGAGGACGGCTTATAATCAGAATAAATGATTTCATATACGCATGAAAGTAAGTCATTTTCCAATCGATTTGCTATTCAAATGATATAAAGACTAAAACGATAGATTTCAAGATACACTTAATCTTCTCTTTCCGTTCGAAATTATAATATTATCCTATTATTTTAGATAGGCAATCAATTTTTTTTTTTCATTACCAGAATGATCAGCGCTAAAGTATTAACACATTCGATCATACGATGTTAGCTAGCCAACGCCTCCTCTTTACAACCTATTGCAATTCAGTATTTAACTTTCAAAAGTAAACATCTCGTTAAAGCAATGTACACAAAAAGAGTCGATGATATCACTGATAGAATCGTCCGTCATTCAATACAGCGTTTATAGCAAAGTGAAATGTATCTACTGTATAGTGAGCTAGTATCACATTTTTAATGAGTTATTGGATGAAAAAAATTTTTGTCACTTGGAGATGAATATGCCAGTAGCAACGAATCTATCCCTATCGAGTATCTTCATCCAAAATCTCTCCGATCTACCTGATTGTGTGACCAATAATTATAATATACCATCGCAAATCCTGAAGCTTTTCAATTGTAGTTACAAATCCAAATTAAGATCAGTAATCTACCTAAGTACCGTATCGAACTAGGCCTGTTTTGAAGAGTATGTCCAAAAAGGCATCCAATACTGTACATATCTCATTTGCATACAAATCATAATATTCACACAGTTGGTGATCGTCCATATTAACAAGGTTATTATACAGAATTTAATCAGGCAAAGGTACAACTTATGTAAACGGTAGGATGGACTTTCCATCGACCTTTGTTTAGCTGAAATTGATTAAAAATCGGCCTTGCTAGGAACAATGGATACATCTTTCTCCTTTTGATTGCTTACTTTTAAAATTAAACATGTCAAGTCATCGCATTAATGCCCCATTTTGACTTATTTCATCTTTTAACAATTCCATTAATGAAACTAACTTATAATAATAGAAGTAAAGAAAATTATCGTCATCGTAGACCTTGATTAGTTCATGTTATAATTAATTATTAATTACTTTTTCATATTTTACAAATTTGATTTCAGTCTCTGCTGTACAAGAAAATATAGCTTCAGCATGACTGTAAAATTTGGAAATATTATATAACCTCTAGGGTCACTGTAATTTATGTTCAATATCTACCGATTTGTAGCATATATCACTGCTTCGTCATCATCTACAATTTATAGTGAAATCCTAAGCTTGACAGAGAGTACGAAGAGTTCTAGCCATACAACACTAAACGCTTGTAAAACTAAAATAGTCAATACATAATCATGTCATTAAAAGCTTTACAAAATTAATAATACTATTGTATTCGCTAATGAAACATTCTCTAGTAACATTAAAAATTTGTGCATGCCTTCATTTCCACATTTAGCAGGGCATTCTATCGAATATTACTTGGCTAAAAGAGCTTCTTTAGAAATGTTTGCTTACTCTAAAGTTCGGGTGTTGTACATCATAAACCGCCAAAACCAGTTCTCATATCATACAGGAACTCCTAGACAATTCATTGACTTAAACAGTTAATATATTCAAATACATTACAAAAGTGATTTAATCATGACTTAAAAGAAAAACTTTTTATTTATTCAAATACATAGCAATTACACTAGTTCATACTGTCGTACATTCGCCGTTCCGGACTTTGAACAGCTGCTACAATTAGTTATAATAATAACCGTTTCTATCTAACTTATCAGAGAATAAGCTTATACGGAACATGGAAACATCTTTATTCACAAAATGTGTACGTAAAAATGTCTGACCCTGCATCATGCATTAGAATGTATTTCCATAAGTAACTTTTTACAAGAACAACAATTTGCTAAGTTGACTAATGTACAGATTCCTACCTAATCTTGTACTCTTTCACAAGTCACATTATAATCATTTTAAAGCGTTTGTAATCAAAAATATTATTCCACAATGGTCGTTGGAGTTACTAAAATTAATACAACCATTTCATCATCATCATCAATGAAATAAGATCAAAACTCGCTGTAGGTTGGCTTGATGCAAACTATGATTAAGTTGTTCCACTAATAATTTTATCAAAACTAATTTCGCTATTAAACAAGAGCAAATTCAGAGTACTTTAGCCATGCACTAAAGTTCACATGGCAATGGTCATTTTCCAATATGTAATAAAAATGAATTAATTACAATATTGCTCATATAGCGTGATTTAGATGGATATGATATTACTAGGGAAATAAATAATAGCATGATTTGCAGTTCCTTCTCAATTAAAGAGTAATACCTTACTAGGTTCTAATTAAAACAATTAAAGCGTGCCTAAATAAATAGACATAGAATTTCGTCATATAAAGCTGAAATAAATACTTGTAAGCCAGCCTATGATGTGCGTAACATAGTTCAAGGATGTCACGTTACTATTTTTCAGTGTAGATATAACCATTTATACGACGTATTTGCTCGTAAAATAAGAATGTCAAGATGGTATGTGGAGCCAACCTTACCCAAGCTGGAACATATCCCTAAAAGTAGTGGAAAAATTTCATCAAGACGTTATATCTTCGGTGCTGTTTATACTTTAACTTCTAGACGACTCTTTCTTTAGTAAATTTTATGCTAACCTTGAAAAACGATAAAGGACCCGACTTTGCTGTGAATAGGATGCAATGAAATATCGACTGCAGAGAGAAAAAATACGTATGCCATTAATCAAAAAGATCGATAGAAAGTAACTGTGATACTTCTAAGAGTATCAATATCACCGTACATATTTTCATTTGGTAGCCTACTAAATCCATATCTAATACTATAAACAAGAAGGGAAAAGGCCTTCACAGATAAATTATAGCAATGAAAGAACAACTATCGTACTCTAAATTCTCCAGGCTTAGCATTCATCAATCTAGTCTTCATAACATCGGTAGGTTGAGTAATTGTCGTTGCAACGGTGCCCTATATATTAAAATAATTAATCTATCATGTATTCCATAAACTTCTATGACAACAAAATTTATTTTGTCATTTCCGAGCGAATATTAAATAAAGCATGCATGAACTTTACTATAAGATTACTGTCTTTGTTTAAGCATGATATTACTTACTGCAATAGTACTTGCTGTAAAATGAGTAATTGGATTATCTACAAAGTACCTACAAATTGTTCATAGAAGATAGTCAGTCATGCGATTACTGCTATGGGAAAAAACGAATAATAATACAGCAATAACAAGGATAAATTACAAAGTCGGTATATTATCTCTAAGCATACCCAGTAGTCAGCAGCATTTGCTTAGCTTGATCGTAGACAGCAACCTGAGCAATAGTCATCAAAATAGCACGACTGGCAGTCATTGTTACGCCAGTAAACCACTTTGGTACTCCCTCTATGAAATGGATGAGCGAGATCATTTTTGAACTATTGTCATGCAATATAAACTAATACCATAACTACCATTTTCGTTGAAGAATATATTCAATTACCTTCCGCTGCTACTCTTCGCAAGCCATCAAATACGTGGCGATAACTTTCAAAAGAAAAATAATTTATCGAAAATTTTAGCTTACGTTAGTATCACATAACTTGATCGATATTGATTTAAGATCAACAATATCACAGTCTACTGAAATATGTTGTTGTTCTATGGCAATAATTTTGAATATCTTTAGCGTGGAAAACATGTTGATATGGATTTAAAATCTAATGTAAATTTCGCGACAGATAAAATTCCGATGTAGGCTTATGAAATTACTTTCTGCGATTTTCTTTTGGTATTTTGACATCATTTTGCATCCTATGAATACCAAAAATTGTCTTTAATAAAGAGTGATATAAAAGGGTTTAACCTATGTCTTAATCCGCTATGTTATGCTATGCTATCAAAGACCGTCATCGTAATCTTTACAGTTAAGCAAGCAAAGTGTACTAACGGTTGAAATAGTACAGACTTGATTAAATATCACAAAAAGGGCAGTCTATGTTGAATGCAATCCTATATCTACAGAAATTCAATGATATATCGCTATGTATACATAAGAATTCCCACCTGACGTTCACCATGTCAGCAGGATTGCCAACAATACCTCCCACAGCACCTATATAAGTATGTAAAAAAAATTGCTTATTGAAGCAAAGTGTGGATAAGCGTATTTTACTATTTTGATTCGATTATAAAGAATTACTTTTCCATATGATCGCTGTAGAAATCGTAGACTTTGACGTACAAGCGTTTTTAATACTATAACCGCTTATTCAACATCACAGCTCATTGACGATCAATTATCCGCCAAAAAAAACTACTGAATCATGATATGATTACGTCGGTACAACGCAAAGTTTCTACAGTTTTTCGATGTGAAGTGAAACGCTGATGAGGTTGCAGAGAGATATGTTGCGTTCAGATTGATTTAGAACTACGGTATAATTTCCAGTTTAAAATGCAATCTCCATCAGGTGTACGTATTACGTCACTAGCATGGTAAAATGCACGTATAATAGGTATAACGACTATTAACGAGTAATAATAATAATATCAATATCGTAGCATGAACAAAATCATAAATCCAGTAAGCCCTAATTACAGTAAATCTGTATAGTAGATGCGTTATCGCTGTAAGGCCAATTAGGTATTTGAGATGTGAGGAAAATTACTTAGTCGTAGAAAATTTGTAAACTCCAGTATCGCGAATTCTTTATTTATTTAATGTACACTTGTAAGACATCATTAGTTGTGCGTAAGTCATAGCATTTGCATACCTCCTACAGCGGCGATGCCTATCTTTTGAATGAATGGAAGAGGATCATTTCCATGCTGGAATTTCGTTTTTAAATAATCATAAATAGCAAATCTGGCGGTGGAGTACGTCAGCTAGAATAGGATATCAAAATAAATAAGTACTATACATTGACGAGCCATTTTCTATTTCTGGCAGTTACTGTAGAACTTTTTATAAGTAGCAGTAACAGGTAAGTTATGGTCACCGCTGTGACCATAGAAATACAAAAAAAATAATTATGGAAAGGTACCACAGTATTGATATGATACTCATTTATCTCCTTTATTTGAGATAATTGAATACAAGATAATTAATACATAGAGGTAATCTAGTCGCATATAATTAATTATCGTTGCTACTGGTTGGCAAAGGTGCAACTACTCTATGAGCAGTAAATACACTTTAAAACGTACGTTATATCATACAAAGTCAATTGATGGCATACGAATCTGCAAGTATCCTCTTACCTGCCGCATGACTGAGGCTGATAAACCGGTATAAAGTGCTGTAATACCATCCGTTTTGACAACATTAATGGCCATCCGAGATGCGCCCATCGATGCCTGCTGTTGTGTTTGCAGATGGACCTATGGTACCACAAAAGTCAATTCTTCATTCTATTCTTATTACTAGATAAAATCAATATTGCAATGTTTATCTAGAATCTACTAGTACTCGTATCTTTAATCCATTTGTAGATAGGGTAATATACAGTACATGTGATGAAAATATATGGGTTGGTTATCCTGTCAATTTATCGCTACTATGGTAATAAGCGATATTGTAATGTAATTTTGATTTTTTTTATGATTGATAACAATATTGGCAAGAGTGGTGATGATTTGTTGCTGGTATCAATAAACGATCCATGCACCAAGAGCTTGTATCGATGATGATCGATAATAGGATGGAATAGAGATGCCCCCTTCTCAAGGTTAGAATAATTGAAATGGAATAAGTTGACGTAATAATCCACTTTCATCGATCGTATGAATATCCGCGTGAAAGGAAGGATTATCACAGAATAATATTACGGATTAAGTGCTTTAGACTACCCTCACGATATCAATCCAATTCAATTGAAATGACTGTTTGTAAATCATCCATGGCCATCCTGATTTCAAATCAGTTTCAAATCTTGATGGAAAGATGTAACCAAGTCAATGATGCATTTAATGGCAACACCTCAACGTGCCGGCACTATAATGGATTTAATAATGCCGTAGGGGGCAACGACATTTGTATTAATGGCGATGAAATGAATGGTTTGAAGAGAAAAAGTTGGAGGGCGGTGGCGTGCTTCCGTCCTATGATGACTCGTTCAGGCGTCCATGAGTTGCTTTCGTGTATCGTCCACTCACTCTATCGTCCTACTGTACACCAAGGGGAAAAGCAATCCACTGGATTGGCAGTACTAGCGAGTGTTTGAATACGATCACGATTATGCAGTGTGAAGAAGAGTAAATAAAAATAAAATTAGGTTACAATATGACCAGCAAATCAAACAAAGTGATGCAATACTAGTTTTAACCTCCCCTCAAAACTAGTCAGAAGAAATGGATGTTATCGACTCCTTCTCTGACCATGGATGATTATACTATATGTATATATACAGTATCGATCTATCTATCATTCTAGAATAGGATTAGTCATGGAAGCAATATGAAATTCAAGCAAGTTGGAATGATGTAAAAACAAAAATCAATAGTTGAACAATTCTGCATGTAGAAAACAACAAAAATGGAAGCAGAATTGTGCATGTAGCGATCAACCGGTTATTGTTGGTTACTTTCAAGATGTTTCATCCACGAGTGGAGTAGTCAGCGGATGTGCAAGAATGAGTAGCGAAAAACAACAATCAATAGAAGTAGAATTGTGCATGTAGCGATCGGCTGTTGTTGGTTACTTTAAACTTCAAGTTGTTTCATCAACAAGTTGAGTAGTCAGTGGATATGCAAGAATAGCTCGAGAAAAACAATAATCAATAGAAGCAGAATTGTGCAAGTAGCGATCAACCGGTTATTGTTGGTTACTTTCAAGTTGTTTCATCCACGAGTGGAGTAGTTAGTGGATGTATAAGAATGAGTAGCGAAAAACAACAATCAATAGAAGCAGAATTGTGCATGTAACGATCGCTTGTGCTTGGTTACTTTCAAGTTGTTTCATCAACGAGATGAGTAGTTAGTGGATGTGGAAAAATGGGTCGCGAAAAACAACAATCAATACAAGCAGAATTGTGCATGTAGCGATCGCTTGTGCTTGGTTACTTTCAAGTTGTTTCATCAACGAGATGAGTAGTTGGTGGATGTGGAAGAATACTGTCGATGGGTAGAGGAGATAGCTAGCGTGAACGATCGCTATACCTTGACGAGATCAAGTGGATGGGTAAAACATGCAGCAGCAGCACCAGCTAGACCACCATCATACCAAGCGGCTACTTTCCTTGGTCCTTGATTAGGCATGGCGGCTAAATTAGTTTTTGTCATCCTCTTCTTCCAGCAACGCTATTGCAACACCTGTTGATTGATTGGAGAACGAGTTGAACGTCGACCGTCCACTTGTTTGACGTCTCTTGGTCCTGGTACCGTTTCCGATCCACGACAAGTGGGCTGACCGGTGGCTGTGACGTCGATCAATCACGTCCACAGTCCAGTCTGTCCTGCAGCGTCCGCTGTCAGTCTGTCCTTCTTTTCGGAAGGGAGTCAAGAACAAGAGTGCACATTGCGCAATCCACCATGACACAATGCAATGCGCATGTATGGTACGGTACGGTACGGATGGACATTGAAGCGTGTTGCAATGACAGCCATGAGAGACAGTACAGTACAGTAAGTCCTGCAGCGTCCGCCGTCAGTCTGTCCTTCTTTTCGGAAGGGAGTCAAGAACAAGAGTGCACATTGCGCAATCCATCATGACACAATGCAATGCGCATGTATGGTACGGTACGGTACGGATGGACATTGAAGCGTGTTGCAATGACAGCCATGAGAGACAGTATACTGTAGTACTGTACAGTAGAGTGAAGAGAAAAAACACTCTGGATTGAACTCCAATCACTCTACCTCAAGCCTGCTGAAGGAAGGCTCTGCACAGCGTGCAGTAAGCGTGCAAAAGTTCATCGTGTCAACGTACCTTGCTTGGACTATTTAGACCAACTCCAATCATCTCGGATAGACGGCACAAATGCCTTTCTATACAATTTCCCTTTTCTACCTCTTTTCTATAGTTAACAGTACTGTTACCCATAGAGTGAAGAGAAAAAAACACTCTGGATTGAACTCGAAATCAGTCTACCTCAGCCTGCTGAAGGAAGGCTCTGCAGAGCGTGCAGTAAGAGGGAGTGAAGTAGAAATCAACTGCAAGCAGACTACCATTTCAATTGTAATGAATGGTGTCACTGCTGCAGCATTGCAGAGGCAAAAGAACGCTCAGCAAACCCAACTTGGACTATTTAGACCAACTCGGATCATCTCGGATAGACGACACAAATGCCTTTCTATACAATTTCCCTTTTCTACCTCTTTTCTATAGTTTCTATACTCTTCTACAATGTGGATTGTCAATGGGATCCACAGTCAGGTCTAGATCCACTAACTCTTTAGCTTGAAAAGAAATTGACCAAGATCAATCTTAATCAATATTCTTTAGTCGAACCCACACTTGTTCTACAGTAAATACAAGACGCGTCTACGAAAGTTACTGCCCATAAGTAGATTTACATAACTATCGTATATCTGCAATATGTTCTCCAACAAATGTAGTGAAAAGAAGGACACCAACATATCAACTTTTCATCAAGACTTATGCGGATAGCCAAAATCGACAATCCCTAAAACAAATATTCTAGTAAATTCGACATGCATAGCCAGCATAGGAGATTCCAATACGCACGCATCAATGATTGGCCCTTGACGCAGTCGCTATCTGTTTACAATCCATCACTGCTAGTGCTACCGGACGAGTACTGTATTGACATACTGTATACTGTACACTGTACGCAGAGTGAAGTACTGTACTGTACAGTATATTGTATACTGTACTGTACTAGTGCAAACTCCCGTCGCTTTGCTGACGATTTACGATAATGTGCTCATTTAACAGATAGTATTACCATTTGTCGTAGACCTGTCAGAGGTTCAGTAACTTTATACCGTGTACTGTGTAGTAGTAGAGTGTATGACATACTGTATACTGATATACATACCGCATTTCTCTAATCTTACAGTAACTCTCCATTTTTAGCTATGTGGAACACTCTTACCCACTCATTCATACTGTATAATATATATATATACAGTATATATTAGTGCAAGCTCCCGTCGCTTTACTGACGGTTTACGATAATGTGCTCATTTAACAGAGGTTCAGTAACTTTATACCGTACCGTGTATCAGATATAAAATGATTCGATTTCATTGATCACGCACGATACGTAAGTAGTTCATGAATAAGAATATAGAGTATGATTAACGGCCATTTTAGCTAGAGGTACAGTGCAAAGTGCCTCACAAGCCTTTCGCACTGTACCGCACGGCGGTTACTATGACAACTTTGGAATCGGAAAACGCCCAACCTAGTCAATTACAGTAAATCTACTGGGCTGGACCGGACTGGACTGGACTGGACTCCCTTCACGACACCTTCATTTTCTACTGCTTTTGACTCAAATTAACAACTTTCTAGTACACTGAAGGTCTGTACCGTCTGTCTGTAACGAAATAGTGTGCGCAGTCATACTGTACAGCAGCATCGTACTGTGGTAATTCTCTGAGAACGTGTAAGTAAACTGTATGAAACAAGAGGTACTGTATTATTCGAGTAATCATAATTCTATACTATTAATGGTGGAGCTGCTGCAAGACAAAAAGAACCTTCAGCAAACCCTACTTGGACTATTTCTACCAACTCCTTTAGCTTGCATAGAAAGAAAGAAATAAACTATGGCGGAATTCGTCCAACGAGCACTGGAGCAAATGCTACCAGAATTGGAAGACATGCAAGAAAATAACTTGTTTACTCGAGATGAAATCAGGTGTTGATTCATTTTTGTGCTATCATCGTCTTACTACCTAAGTGTGCTATCGGTTTATTAATGGAGTAGAATAAAGTTATAATGCCTCATAATATTAGAAACGACAGAATATACTGTCGATTAGATTGACTAGATAGGATATGCATACAAAACATGCACATTTCTGTACTGTGTCAATGGAAAATGGTTGATGAATGTTATACTCGTACACGAGGAATAGTACATGATGCCACGAGATACTATACAACATCTTGTACTTCCATAGAGTTCAAAAATACCTTCAGTCAGGTAAAGGATACAGTTCTGCTGATACATTACTGTATACCAGTTTTATTGAAAAGAATTATATATTACTATTGGCTTACTGAATCAACATATCCAGTTGCTTCATCGATCTTACATCTTTGAGCAGAACTCAACCTCTGACACCTCTATAAATTAGCACTAGCTTATGAATACAGTACTAGCATACTTTCTACAACTTGATCCCTTACACCTTACAACAAGCATGCAAATGGGTGCAGTCCAAACTTCAATCATAGAATTAATTATCTTGATACAATTATCTCACTAGATTTGCTCATTGTAGACCCACCTTTGAGCATTAAAAAATGGCATGATTCAGCTCCATTATTCTCATTGCAATCATATATCACTATTGTACTAGTATTTATCCAGCCAGCCTACCAGTATCGCTTTGTGTCCTTAATGACCGATTCAACGTTGCGCGAATGCTGTATTTGGCTACTTTTTAACTTATAAAGTATGTATTTATCAATTGTTAGAGCCTTGGTTAAGAAACGTACTCATTACGAATATCAATTGCAACGTCGCGTAGTTAGAAAGATCGATTTTATACGATATATCAAGGTATGGTATGCATGAATGGATTGCAAAGTACAACCAAACTGTACAAAATTGCATATTGAGAGGCTCGGACGCAAGACTGCATATCATAACATGTGCTAGTTTAGTAGAGCATGTTGATATCATAATGGTAGCTTTAAAATACTGGAATTGACTTAAATTATTTTTTTAATTTCAGCATGAAATGAATTTAGAAGCGGAAAGAAATAACAGGAAGCGGGTGAGCTCTTATGCATCTCCAATAATATTAATAGCTATTACATGAATAAGTAGCATGCCTACCTTACATTATCCCTATCAGTAGCAGAAACGCCAATAATAGAACGATGGAAATAGAGGTATCAGCAATGAATATTGTACCCACACAAAGCATGCAATAAAATTGTACTAATGCGGAAATTGCAATCCATAAATATAGTACTTCTACAATGCATATGACCGTAATGGATGGGTAGTTCTTGTTGCAAACGATAATCTCTTGTTATTCTTTAGTTGATTCTACAATACAGTAATCTCACTTGTCTTACTGATTACTAATTATCTTATACACCATAACCTATACTGTATCAGTAAGTACTTTTACATTACAAATATCAATTCGCATGAGCAATAGTATAAAAATCCACCCTTCCTAGCTTGCGCGACGTATCTCACTAACGTTGACACATTTATCACCTGATTTGTATGTATGCGTGTTGTATATAAAGAAACTTGGTATCTACAATAAGAAAAAAACTGTCGACTTTGCAATTATTAACCGAATTCATCGACTTTATCAAGTACGCTTATGAATTATTCAATTCAATAATGTCAACGATTTACTAAAGTTAATGGTTGTATCTTCCCTTTTTTTTTAACACCCCCTGCAAATTATAAACCACTATAGAAAGCATTAAGAAAATTTAGGGTAAGAACGTAGACGCTGTAAATTGATTTAGCTGCAAAGCAGCAATGAGACACATATAATAATTTATACTTAGTGTTTCCTATAGGAAAGAGATAAAATATCATTTTTGCCAATATAAGAGTATGACGTTATTAACAAACCGAGAAATCTTAAGTAACAAACTGTTATTATAATATCGTAGAGTGATTCAAAACTTTGGCTGGAATATATTGCATTTTCCAAAAATATGGTAAAATTTAATATCCTGTAAATAGTACTTATGCTAGAGATAATAACTTATTATCTTGAATGTGAAATTGGGCTTGTTGACAACTATCGATATTAATGTACTTTCATGCGGATAATATTAAAATTTATAGGGTAGTACCAAAGTTGTAAGCAAAGCCTTCTCTAGAATGTTACAAGCTCACCCTTACAGATCAGGTAAGAATATTACATATTTAATCGTAATATATATATACAAATTGAACATCTGAATGAATAGGTTCAATGCTTATCGGTATGCGATTTATGAAAATTATCGTTTATATCCATAGAATTTTGGATTATGGCTGCCAAGTGGGAATTTGAAGATAACAAAGATATTGATAATGCTAGGTAACAACTGAAGTTAAAGTAATCTTGTAGATACTATGAATGCGAAAATTTTTAGAATCTTACTTTCTTCACGCTTAAAAACGGATACCTCTAGACGAATCATGCAACTTGCAATTAGAAGAAACTCTACGTCAAAATCACTATGGCCGGAAGTATGTTGTTTACAATGTTTAATTATATTTCAATTCTAGTTTATATAACTTACTTGAATGCGGATTAAAATTATCTTTTTTACTAACTTGTTTTTTAGTATTTTCGATTGGAATTGCTTTATGTTGACAAGGTGATTAACTATACTGCTAGATAAATTACTGTGATATAACATGTTGCGTTCAAAGTCTCATCGCTTTGCTAGGATGACTACCATTTTTATAGTAAAGTAATTTCTTCTTTCATTTAAAAACTATATATTCTAGATGCGTAAAAGGCGACAAGTACTCAATATCAGCGAACCGAATCAAGACGTTAGTAATGCAATAGACGCATTGGAAACTTGTATATTTTAATAATAAAGCGCTGTATTCCTGAAGAATATCTATGGTACGATTTTAATAGGATTCCGGTGAAATGTCGGATGAATTTTTTGCTAACAAAATTGCTGACGTAGTCTATCAAAATGCTGTCAAGGCGATACCAGGTAATTGAAAGGCCGAATAAATCGTAAATAGATATAATCATTTAATTGTAGCTCTGGAATGGAATTATTCTCATAGATGCCTTGCAATAAGTCGATGTTAAACAAATCTCTTCTTTGCCTATTATTACATAACTTGCTTAGATGATATTGAATTTAGAATGTCATTTATTGGAATTTACAAATTATTTGAATCAACAAAGCAGTATCGAGACGCAATTTATAATAGGTAAGTAGTATTGGAATAATTCTAATTCATAACAACCTAGGTAATTACAATGAAAGTACATTTTGATCAGCTTGTCTCGCATAATAGTTTGTTAGATGACTTTCCCGATCAAGAAGCTAGTTGGCATTTCTTTGCCGAAAAAGAATATGATGATCATCCTGATATAAATGCGCTACCAGGTAAGGCATCTAGCTACAACGGTGCCTTAGCAATGTTGCGTCAGTATTATAAATTTTATAACGAAGTCTTAACTAACGGTGAAAGTTATTCATTATTGTAAGGTAACGAAATAGAAGATCTGATTGAACGTGTACAGTTACGATACGAGGAAGGATTAAAACAACTTAATACTGGTATAGTGATATCATAGATACATACAGTATTTTAACTTATTCTTGTATCGAATAATTTACAAATTCTTGCTACTTGATTTAGTGCAAATGTGGGACTACTATTTGTCATGGTACTACGAGAAAGTCGTACTTACTTCTCCAACGTGTCTATCAAAGGTGGTGCATCTTTACCAGCTCTGTCATTCAAGTTTAAGACATCATTCTAACTAATACTGTATATTTGCATCTGCTAGTTGGAAATTTTACTAGAAATATTTGAAAAAGCTGCTGCTGGAAAAAAGTTATCTGAAAATAAATATTTCTTATGGGTCAGATTATAGCAATAAATTTTGATACACATCAACCATTTCTATTACCGCAGTAAAGCAGCAAGGACTCTTTCAACTAGTATCAACGCAATTTTTTAATTTTTGTTATTATGGAATTCTAGATCAAGATCTTGCAGAAAATAAGAAAAGATCAAGATATTCCGGCCGTACTTGAAAAATATATACGTGATTTTAATTCGGAATTGCAATCTTGGAAATTTTATCTGACATTACTTTTAAGTTATCAAGGTATTTTAGTCAATTTATTTAAACGGGTTGAAATCAATGTATCGTATGTTTAACATTCGCATCAAGCAACGTTATTGCTCTTATTGATTATTACACATTTATTGAAATGTTCAATGGTATCTTATATCACAAATCGAATACTAGTTGATTATAATGTAAAGTATCTAAGTTTAAATATTATTTTCACTACAAGAATAAGTAAGTGGATGATAACTATTTTAATGTACTGTAGAAGTGTATGAAGAACACGATATTGAAAATGGATTTGATAAAGCCTTAAAGTGTCTACCAGTTAAGGTATGCTAAGCAAAATTTAAAGGAAAGGCGTTATGTAGCCAATATACGCGTATTTTATGTTTTCATCTTTAATCTACTAGACTTCGATTCCAATTTGGCAATTGCGACTAGAATGGTATTTAACAAGCAAGCCCAAGCTTGTAAATACTTTTTTAGAGGTAATACTACAAGCCCTTGTACGTTATGAAAACACTCTTGTAATCTGATATGGCACTGTCCCGTAATTCTAAGCATTGGACATTGCTTGAGTTTCATATTGTATTAGTAACATCGACACTCAGTTCTTTCCTGTAGTACTTAAACCAAATTACTACCTTGAAGTGATTGACTTTAAAAATGGTATAAAACATCATTGGTTGTAATTATTAAGATAGCCTATGTATTATTTCTACAGAAAACAATAAATCTATCTCCTGAAATCGCTAAGCCGATGCAAGAAAGATATTTAGAATGGACGGCCTTAAATAAGAGTATCAGAAAAGTTCGAAAAGTCTACACCAAGTAAAGTTGACCAATAACTAAAACTAATTCAATTCGCGATACTTAATTATAATTTTCAATCATGATTTGATAATTTAATTATGCCTCAATTGACCGAGTTAATCATTATTTTTGTGCTTGTACAGTCTGATAGCGAATTCTCTCGTATCTATTGAATTCCTTTGCATGTGTGTTGATATAGAACAGCAACAGGTACGGTTAACAACATAAATGTTGCTTCTTTCCGTATAAAAGTCAATTAACTAAATTATCCAATCTGTACAATTTAACTAGGCTCCCCCTGATATAAGCAAATTACGAAAATTATATGATTTAATTCTATCACAAATTGGCGAATCATCGGCAGGTAATTCCAACAACTTTAACATGCCAGATACAGTTATACGAGTATTTTTGTAAAATAGCATTAGTTAATTCACTGTAGGTAATAAGACATTGTCAAATTGATTATTTATTTTACGATGCAGAATATTGGATAAAATATATAAAAGCCGAGAAAGCCTGGGGACAGCCTGCTCTTGCTAATACAATTTACTGGAAAGCACTGAAGACATTGCAAGGGGAGGATAATTACGATTTTATAAAATCATATGCATTACTGTAACAGCCTGTCGAAACAAATTTATAAATTGATGGAACCGTTTTAAGTAATAAAATTGATTTCAGTACTACCGAGATCACCATTACGCTTACAACGACTTTAACTTTGACTAAAATCGCACAGCAGCGTACAGTTGATAGCTATGGCTTCCTGAGTTTGTGTATGGCATTACGCAATGTACTGACGAATATGCCGTAATATACGCAGACATGATAGTATGTATAACATCCAGTTCGGAAAATGATTATGCTATACATTGATGGATAGTGCTAGAGGTTTTACCTTTATGCTCTACGGTTCAACAATATTCAGCTAAAGCGTAACAAATTCGACGATACTTTCATATTGAAATAAAAGCAAATTAATCCAGCGTAGTAAACATTACAATATTTCGAATTCTTTTGGTGTAGACTAAAATATGTCAGCTAAAGCATCTATGGGATTAAAATTCCGTATATTACCTGTATGGATAGGTATTGTAAAATCTTCAGATCGACTCTAGCTTGACTAGACAAATTAGCATATTCTTCTTGATCTTTATTATGCACCTGGAGCTTAGGACTTTTACTACAAATTGAAGTTACTTTGTAGTTTACGGTATTCCTACACACAAATACAGTAACTTTTTTCTCGATCATAGTGCTAGATATAGCCAGCTCTTATTCCTTTCGACTGCGAGTGGTTATGAGCACTAGCAGTAACTACAGAGCTCTAGATACGGACGATCAGGCTTTGGAGAGAGGCTAAAAGTGTATTTGCACAACGTGGACGTACAATTACTATAGTACGAGTATATTACAGTAGCGGTTGCTTTTCCACTATGAATGGATATGCTTAGGATTAATTGGTCAAGCGGCTAGGATTGGCTAACCATTTAGTCGATCATAAGATTGATTGGTCAAACCTAGGATTGGCAAGCGCTTTAGTCAATCTTAGGATAGACAAACCTATGATTGGCTAGTCCTTTCATCAATCCTAGGATTGATTGGTCAAATTTAGGATTGGCTAGCCCTTTGGTCAATCCTAGGTTTGACTAGGACTTTGATCAATCCAAGGTTTGACTAACCATTTAGTCAATCCTAGGCTAGGTCTGACATGACTAACCCTTTAGCCAATCCTACATTTATTGGATCAATCTTAGGATTGACCTAATTCGAGTTTTGACCATCACTTATGTGAGATACTAATAGTACAGTAGAAAACAATCAGATATTGCTTTTTATGGAAGTATTGAACTTTTGAATCTCACCAGTTTAGTGCAGTACTACTGTACGCTAATCCAAAAACATAATAAACGTTAAACTTTGCGCAATACGTTTTACTTATGGGTACACTCGTGCCTTGATAGTTTAATTATACCTCAATGAACCAAGTTGATCAATTATGTTCATACTTTTACAGCCTGATAGCGAATTCTCTTCTAGTCAATTTATCTGTATTGTATGTATATTGATATAAAGCAGCAAAAGGTGTAGGTGACAACATCAACGTAGCTTCTTTCCGTGTAAAAGCCAATCAGTTCAATTATTCAATCTTGACAATTTTACTAGGCTGGTCTGATGTAAGTACACGTAAATTACCAAGATGACAGGATTAAATGCTGTCACGAATTAGAGAATGATCAGCAGGTAACTCCAACAGCTTGAACATGGCAGATCCCACTGGACGAGTATAGATGTCAAGTTTAAACATCAAAAGTTAATTTATTGTACGTGCTAAGGCACTGTCAGATTGATTATTCAAAGTTATGCAGAATAGTGTATAAAATATACCCATTAAATCGACAAAAGCGGAAAAAGCCTACTGGCAACTTGCTCTCGTTAATACAATTTATTGGAATGTACTCAAGATTTTACAGGGGGAAGACAATGACGATTTTATAAAATCATATGCATTACTGTAATAGCTAGTCGAAATAAATTTATAAATTGATAGAACTGTTTGAGAAATAAAAATTGATTTCACTTCTGAGATGATCATCATTATCATAATTGTCACGACTTTAGCTTGAACTTAAATAATACAACAGCGCACAGTAGATGATAACTACGGTATGGCATACTGAGTATGTGGATAACATTACGCTAGATACCAACGAAGATGCGCCGATATAATAGTAAATATTACCGGGTAAGTCAACTTTGGAAAATGATTAGGCTGTACATTAACAGATCATCAGCACGCATTAATAATAATATTTTGATAATATAAATGCCAAATGATGCAAAAGTTTTATATAAACGAGAGTTCTACACTTCAACAATATTCAACCAAACCTGTAGCAAAATGCGACTTTACTTTCGTATTGAAACAGAAGCATATTAATCAAGCTTAGTTAACATGACTTCGAATTCTTTCGCTGTAGAGAAAAACATGTTTGCTAAAGCATCTAAATAGATTAAATCAAGACGTGATAAAAATGTCAATCTATCTGCTAGGCTACGCATACTGCCATCATCGCAATAATTGAAAGTGCTAGATAGAGAATCATTCGTTTCTCTATCCGAAGGCGGCGATTGAAGTGATTCTGCCATTTTATCAAATCCATTAGAAATATCATCCATCTCTGTACAGTAGTGGGAAGGTTCAATTTTGGTAAATAGCCTACAAGGTAAGTATTGAAACAGGAAAAAAAATTACAATAACATTTAGTAATAGTTATTTATTATATGATCTAAATAGCATCTTGGTTTTAAATAAGCAGATAATCCTTTTTGCACCACCCATACGTGTATTCGAAATATATCAACTTTAGACTAACTGATAAAATTTAATTTTCCGCATTCTTACAATGAATCTTGCATCCCTGTCACAGAATCCCATAGATCTTGTATAGGATTATCGACTCCTTCTACTTGTTTATAATTACCAGCATCATAATCATAATTAAAGATATTGGCGTTTGCAGTATCATCATCTTTGGCATTTTTGGGGCAATAACTCTTAAGATTAGGTGATAAAAATGAATAATAGTTCATATCGTTTTCTTCATTTGACGAAGACATCGAGTCAATACCATTTCTTTCATCATTTGCCGGATAATTACTGGATGGACTTTCTTTACGCAAGCTGCTATTACTGCCATAGTTACTTAGTCTCCAGAATGAATAAATATTCCCTCCATCTGATAAAGCTAAATGATTATTGGAATTTGTCATGCACTTGATATCAGAATCGTCTATTGGAACTGATGTTTCCTACAATAACACATATATGAAATTAAAATGCAGTCCAGGTAAGCATTAATGTAAGTTAACTACTTTAACAAACAATTGATACAAGAAAGATTGATGTATAAGTACCACATTGAATTCATATTTTATAATTACAAGTTATATTTTAGCATTAGATACTCCTTAGTGCTATTCATATTCTTATGATGAATAGTAAACTCTCGTCTAAAAAATATTATACAACGCAGCTCCTAAACACTTTAATGCATGCTCGACTAAAAAGGAAATTAACCACAGTATATTCGAATGGAGGAAAGAATTCTTAAATCGAAAAAAGTTGTAATTTAAAATATAATAATGCCACAACTATGCTTGTTCAAAATCTGGCCAAGTATTAATAACTCGAAAATAGTTCCTTCAATACTCATATTGCAAATACTTCAGATTCTAATCGATTCTGATACGTTGTATTTATCCATGCCTAACTTACCGCCGGTGATGGGCTACGCGAGGTTACACTATATGTTGCTAAATTAGTTTCACTTGAAAATCGATGAAAGGAATTTCTGTTGAATTTTGCCCTTATACATTCAAGACTAAGTAAAATTTTTTTAACATGACCTAATATGAATGAAAGGCGAAAAATATGTACAATGAAGTTAATAATAATTGCAAAATGTATGTAAAAGAAAAGCAGAATCGTTTTAGAATCTCATTTAATCACCTAATTTATGGATTCCTATTTCATTTAAATCTTCTTGTGTTATATCGATTACGGATGATATACTCTCATATTCGTTGTCCGAAAAATTGGATAAATATTCTGATAATTGCAGAAGCTGCAACCAATGCTTTACGTTATACTGAAAGGTAATTTAACAAAGATATCTTAAGATTGTTGCTATCATAAATTGATTAAGATACCGGTTTTAGCTTGTAAAAAATGTAATGATAATGTATAATATCATGATTTGTTCATTTGCCAGTATCATATTTCGTCTAGGCTTTGTTAATACTGTAAGTATTAGTATGTAAGAAACGGAAGTCATTGATAAATAGTTCTTGATATATCTACATATTGTTTAGGAAAGTTTTAGCAGCAAGGTCACTGCTTTCTCAAGTGAAACATCAAATAATTAACTAATCAATCCCAAATAACTATAAGAAATAATATATTTCTGCTACTACTGCATTTATTTAATACAGATAAAATTATTGCTAAAGTCTTGTATTTTATATTACCGCAAATTAAACTACTAGCAATAAGAATGACAGGATTCACGTGGTCTGCCACTAACCGGACTACGAGCAATCAAAATCGGAAAATGAGGAAGAGAAATAGCCTCGTTAAGGATAACTCTTTGATCTGAAGAATCCGTGATGCCTATTGCATTATATTCCTAAAAAATATAAAGCATTGCAATCAATTGTTACTATCTATATCTTTTCCGGGATTAATAGACTACAGGCATAAAATGTAGAAAGTTGTTCTGACAATAAATCTTTACATTACTAATTAATAATCAAGACACTCCAATGTTTGTACAATCCGCTATCAATGCCTTCCATAGGATTAAAACTCGTCTATTACCTGCATAGATAGGTATGGCAAAATCTTCATATCGACTCCAGCTTGAATGAATAAATTAGAGTATTCTTCTTGATCGATAGTATGCAACCAGAGTTTTAGACTACTAGGCTGTTATGATATAAAACGGAAGGCTTTAATATAAGAATGCAAGATATTTACATTATGGACGGTAACATTTAAGAAGGCACAATTGTTTTCTCATGCACGCGATTCCATTCAAGAGAATTATTGTTAGAAAAGTTTTAATGATTGTCTATAGGATTGGTATTAATAATATTGACAAAATGACGAATCAGCATCACGTCGTATCGTTAAAGTAATTGCTATGCCCATGAAAATGACATTTTCAAAAGCGTAAAGCATCCTTGAATTTGGCCTTAATATGTAATGACAGCAAATTATATCGCCTAATATTCGACGTAGCTCCCCTCACAATATTGGTATTCTTATAGGAGCAAGAATGAGATATATCAAATTGCTGCATAAATCGATGACATTAGACATTAGCATCTCTTGTAAGATTAATATATTTACGTGAGCAAAACTTGGCTGAAGTTTAGAGTAAATTTATCGAAAGAAATTATAGGCACTGAATCTTCCTGAATTCGTTATGACAATCTATCGAAAATATGCGTTTATGACACCATACCTTTTCAAAATCTTTACTATCCGACTTTCCTTTCTCAACTGTGGATTTTGCTATAAATTAATAGAAAGAAAGAGTTCTGCTTAAAACTAGAAATTAGAATGTTAGCAATTGAAGCGATTACTATTTCGTTTAGGGAAAACTTGTTATTATAGAAGCAATGATGATATCAGTTGCTATATTCTTCTGAAATAAAGTCTGAAATGAAAAATTTCAAATTACCTCCATCGATAGCAGGATTAAGAGTATAAACATCGTGACTAAAGTCGATACTGTAAGTTCTTTCTCTCTCTTCTATGCTATCACTGCTAAAATCTAAACGACTTATTCGTTTAGGTCCTAACATTGATAGAGTTCTGGCACGCATCATGCCTAACATGATAAAATTAAGCCATCCAACACTGATTAATATCAGTTAAAGTATTATTTCTCCACTTACCAGGATATAATTTTACTTTAGTCATCGAAATTGCTACACGATTCTTAGCAATAAATATTCCAAAAGATAAAATCAAATAGTCATAGTTATCCTTACCTAGAGGTACTTTCCCTGTAGGAGAAATGTCTAAAAGCCTGTGAGAAGCAATATTTTGCATGATGTTTAACTGATTAATATATCCAGCATTTTCTGTTGTAATCTGATTAAAGGCTGATACTATAGCCCCATCTTTTTCAATCCTAACCGGTTTAGATCGACCACTATTGTCTAATTGGACAAGATGTTGCCGTTAAAAGCAAATATTAAAATAACACTGTTGACAAAACTCTATTTTTCTCCTTATTATCATTTCCGGGAGAATGATTTTACTGGCTCTTGAATATATAGACAATCATTTACAATAGATCGACTATACCGTGGTTAATTGCATGATTCTGAAGGCCTAGGGATACTTTCGGTGAATAATAATCCTTTCTAATATTAGAATTGATTGAAATAAAACCTACATAGTAGCAGTTTAAAAGATATAACCTCGAATTTACAATTTTATATTGTGCACCATAGAAATTTTATTAAGTTATGATAATTTTAAATTATACGGTGCATAAATTACAATATTTTCTCTCGAACCTAATGGCACGCTAGTATGACTACTAATAATTTGCCCACTTTCGGAGTGATCTCTTACGTCCATCATATTATTAGAACGCTTATGGTTGCCACTGCCACGGCCATTGGATCCTATTCCATGTAGATGGTTTCGCGGATCGGGATAATGTTCAATGACTATTTCAGTTTGTGCTACTGTCGAGCTTTCGGGAATATCAAATGAAGATGCTTTATTTTTCTTACTTTTTTTAACGTTATTAGTCTGTGGTTGATATTGTGAAATGAATTATTTTAGCCTCTGGAATGAATAATAATTTTATAGATCTAATCGAGTTATGGAAGCTTAATTGATTTCCTATAGCCGAAAATTAATTCAATGTATAACACTTTCAAGGATTTTTTTTGCAATAATGTAAAGGCTCTGCAAAACTTGAACAACTTTTGCTATAAGCCTGCCGTACAATGGGTATGGCAGAATTGATCAGATTATGGGAAGTAATGTTTTTCGAATTGAAGAAGGTGTATCATAAATTATAAAAATTTATTAATCAATAAATTACAGTATTTACAGACAGCAGAGCTTCAAATATAAACATGATAAATTAGTTAGGATTCTTGGAAAGAAACACCAATTAAATTATTTATATCAACAGGAATATGTAGTCGATAGATTATGACCCTATTTTACGGTACTAAATGTTTACCTTATCTGAATTTTCGTTATCCTGATCAAGATGAGCTGACTTTCTTATACTATGTCTGAAACTGGACGGCTTTTCCTTTTCTTTCATAGCTCCTGTGAACAAAATCATATGTAGGTAGTGAATTTACTGCAATGTATTTTAGCAATAAGTGCCAACGCCGAGACGCAAAAGTTCTATACATGGCTGTAGATGATGCAGTAATTATACGTCAGAAGTTATATTCAAACTCAACACTAAGTATCAAAAGGATTGATCTGTTAAAAGCTAATATCAGGACATGAAAATTAACAACCAAGTCAATAAGATATGCTGTAGTATCAATGCAATAAGTACTTGAGCATATGCAGTGCTTATGCAATATCTAATTACAGCAATTGACTACGTCTATAACACTTCAATTACAACGATATTGCGCTATGAAATATTTGTAAACTTTACGAAAATTCTTCGCTGATAGGTTCAATATATATAGCAGACATCTTATACCGAATTGAACTGCCGTAGTAAGATCAAAATCATCTGGGTGAAAACTGTCAAGTTAAGGTGATGATCAATTCTATCAGTAATTAATTAATTTCAACACCTAATGATTGTCTCAATATTTTTTGAGATTTGCTAAACCAAATTTAACAGCTACCGTACTATAAGACAGAATTTATCTGTTTGCTAGCTATTAAATAGGTTTGATGTCACTTCTTCCTTTCAATAAAGGAACAATCATTTGTCGCATGTTCTAGTATGCTTATATCCGTATAGTAATTTCGAGCAGGATTTTAGATAATTTCTCGAACTACCATCGCCACTACATTTCTATCACTACTTTTATTACTAATTAATACTTAACCTTCAATAAGAAGGCGGATTTCATCGACCAAGACCGAGGAATTAAATTTATTAGCAATATCTAATGCGGTTTCACCAAAGTCATTTTTAATCATGACGTCGATTTCATGCTGATAAAAAAGAAATAATTTGAAAATTTTCCAGTTGCATTTCCTGTTAACAGTTTTATAATAACTGCAAAATGATAATTATGAGACGGTCACAATTTATGCTATTAATTCTAGTGAATTAAACTATTTCCATAGTGAAGAAGATTTACCTCGATTAATAGTTCTACTACTTCGATTTTACTGAATAATGTAGCTTCATGTAATGCCGTCCCATTAGCCGCTTTACGATTGATATCAAATCCAGCCTCAACTAATACACTAATTAACGAAAAATCAGGTGTTAAAAATGACGTTTACTATCTCATCGTTCGGTTTCTATTTTTTGCTACTGTTTTAAATATTATCGGTATTCCTTAGTCTCTATTCTGCCATTTACTTTACAATATCTGCACGTCCACAACGGGCCGCGGTCATTAACGGACTTTGATCATCCTTATGAATATGAACAAATTTCTCTTTCCATATTCCTTCCAGCAAGGCTTCAACAACCTGTGCATAAAAAAAATAATAGATGGAATTTATTCTGTAAATAGACTAATTGCTGCGAGGTCAGCCTGAATCGAAGAAAATTTTTCCATTTCAAGTGCATTACATACAATGATACGATATTATCTCGGACGAAACATTAGTGAACAATGCCGAAATGACAGTACACGCGAATTTTGATACTAGTAATTTTTTGATACGGAACTATTCTGCAGTTGGTAGTTGCTATCCTATCTGAAGAGATCGAAAATAAGCCTATACACCTAAAACTATGCAAGTACTAGCACGTAGAGATTGCAACATGCTTACCTTTTTGTAGCCATATTGGCATGCGAGATCTAGAGCGGTTTCTCCAGCTCGATTTTTCATCGTTGCTGCTATTGATTTTGTTAACAGAAATTTGACCTAAATTAAAGGACAGAAATTTAAATGATCGATTTCAATAAAGTTAAAATTATGCTCTTATCTGTTGTCATCTATCTGTACTATTTTTATAACAGAATTAAAAAGTACCACTTTGAAGTGGCCATCTTGCACTGCTAAATGTAGAGGTGTATCGCCGCTGCGAGACTGCAGATTAACGTTAGCACCAGCTTCAATTAAAATATCTAAAGCATTTAATGCATCTTTCCAACAAGCTAAATGGAGTGGAGACATGCCTATATGTGATTAGATATAGAAAATGAATTATTTTAGATCCATTTCCATCTGATATAGTCTTACCCTAAATGATCAGCGGTATGTTTATAAGAATTTACCATTACAGTCCGTAATATCTAACGAAGCTCCAGAATCGATGAGCAGTTCAATAATGTCACGATTATCGCATAGAGCCCCATAATGCAATGGAGAAAGACTATGAAGTGCAGAAAAAAGGCTTGGTAATTAATAACTGATCATGGCTATTTTCGCCTACTTTATAAAGGAATCAGGAGTAGGTACAGTATAATCTTGAATAGAAATGATGTAGAGGTAAATTTCATGATTCTCAAATTACAAATCCATAACTACAATATCAAGGAGACTGAAGAAGAAAATTCTCTTCAGGCTGTTTTAATTTGGTTTATTTTTACCTTAGATTTTATTAGCTTTACTTATTCAAAGTGAAGATAACAGAGTAGAATAGAAATTACGAGATCGTAACATATAGCAACGTAATGAATACATACGGAAACTGCCGGTTGTAACAAGGAGGATATTGTTTAGAATTTATAGCGGAGCAAGATTCAACAGTAAGAATAGTTATCATGGTAAACCCTAAATCTACCTATGGTTAATTTCTCCTAATGAACGGATTCACATCTAAAGCCAATTTACCTAGTACTGTCTTGGAAATCAATATTGAACTTTTTGGAAATTCCTTTCGGTCCATTCGACATGAAAGCTAGTCAATAGATAGAATGTATTTAAATGATCAACAGAATTGTTATTTAATAACAGTATATAAGTAACATATAATATCAATTATTATTGGATAAAATACTGCAATATTAAGGTTATTTTTAATGAAAATATGGATTTTAAAAGTAATTGCAGACGAAAGTATTCATTGCTTTTGCTGTTAAATGAAATGATAGAAAGATGCTAGCATTCCTATAGGAAATGTAGATTTCAATGTGGAAGAAGCTGAAATTAGATTAATAATCGTTGTTGTGTCGAATTCTACAATATTACGGATATTACTTTAGGAAATTTAATGCTAAAATTAACCGTGGATGAAAGTAGATTTAGCTTTATCTGTATACGGTATTAAAAGGTAAATCTTTTGTTTATATTAAAAACAAGTACAGTAGTAGTGGAGAGATATTATTTTTATATTATGATTGCAGATCATCTTTTTTCGGTTACCAATTTAAACTATAGCGAACCGAATACTGTAAAAAAATTTTTCTCGACGCTAGCAACTCTAGTATCTTGTAGTGGCTATTCAGGAATCCTTGTATAACCATAAAGGAATCACATTATTGATAATGGAAGAATAGTATATATTGATTTTAGTGTATCATCTTCCTCGTTCTAACTCTCATAATAAATATTTTGATATTACAGAAGAAATGAATGTCTCTGCTAATATTAAATGAATAATATTAGTCCTTTACCACCTCCAACCTGATGATGTGGGACAAAAGTAATAAGGATGAGTCGACGAGGATAGGGGCAATCAAGATAACTAGGTTCTTGTATTTATAGGCGTAGAATGGCGTTAATACGAGTATATATGTCTGTTTTAATCTTATAATATGATAAAAATAGATCTTAGCTGGTTGTATCGATAAATATGTATTGATGTCATATAAGCAAAAGTCAATGAGATTCCAAGAATTTAATCAAAAAATGAAATATTTAAAGGATGTGGCATTATAATTATCATAACGAAGGGAAGGAAGGTAGTGGCAACCGTTGGCGTTGATTTTCCGCTATAACAGGAAGAAATTGCCCTAACTTATGAAGTAAATTAACTTTCTTCCGTTATGACATCATTAATTCATTCTTAGAGGCTCTTAGAACTTTCAAATTTGATTTGAATATTGTTCATTACAGTTGAAATAAAAGTCATTACTTAAACAAGTTCATTAAAAGTAAATGCCCAACCTCAGTGGTGCTAATTCGTATAAGTGTAAAACGGAACACTTACCCCAACCTCTCCAATTTTAGTCTTTTATTTCAGTTGACATTTGAGTAAAATTAATACTCACTAGTCTGCCGCTATTATTTTTATAGCCGTTAAATCGTTCAAAAATTTGATTTGGAATAACAATGTCATAATAGAGTTTTGAAATTAAAAGAGGTACAAAGTATCGGATGTTCTAAACTAATAGAATTAAAAGCACGTTTTGAAATGTTTAAAATGGTGTTATTACAAATTTAAGTAAAATTTGAGCTAGTCAATTATAACTATAGCCATGAAGAGTCCTTAAATCTTTAAATGCTGCTAATCGTATTTTTTGATTCTAGAAGTTAAATATTCTTAATTTCGATACTGGCAGAATCCACGTTTATTCATCCTATAGACAAGAATTTATTGCCTTGGTCATTAGACAAGTGATTTCTTTTTCTTAAAAAACTCGAGGCTTTGCCCAGCTTAGGATAATATAATCCTCGTCATCAGTTAATTTTTTTATAATTATTAAAAGCATTTATAGCAGTCTTCGAAGCTAGCAGTATGGATACGCAACTTAGTAATAAAGAGTTATTTAGGTTTAATTAAAGCAAAACAGAACCAGATAGAGATGCAGGTGTAAATTATCACCTTTTCTATTGAAAAGGTTATTACCATAGGATAGAATTGTTCAACAGAACGAAATAGTTCTTACTTGAAGGGTGAATAAATTGCTTTATCCTATCAGATTTAAGGTGACCATCGTAATGATTGAGCATAGCTTGCATACATTTAATATTTTTTGTATCAGGATATCCTAAGATAATTATAGATTCGTGATTGGCTAAAATTCTGTCCAGTCAGATGTAGGGACTAGCTTCTCAAGATTAGAATTTGTAACGTCAATTAATGATTATAATCATTTTATGCCTGAACGAGCTAATATATCTAACAATAAATAAAATGTGTTATGGTAGAAGTGCTAGCAAGATACTTTTAATAATTACGATTTAATCATTCAGTTCACCCTGAATACGAGATTTATAAATACTCATATAAGTTACGAAAAGAGTGATGTGTATCTTGTGATATTGGTGAAGGCATAAAATTTTTATCACTACTATTCACAGTTGTAATTTATCAATTTTGATTTCCGCTTGAATCAGATCATTCGTAAAGCTGAGAACATCCCGATTTATATATTGACTACGAGTATAGCTAGATAGGATACCGTTAAGCCATTCTTTCAATGCGAAATAGATCAGTTCTTGTTCAGAATCAGAAACTTAAGGTCTCCTATATACTTTTGCATTTTAAGCGTAATAGAGATTTAATAAAAATTTGAATGGACAATAGTTAAAAGTGATGGCTTCCAATGATAGATATAAAACTTAAAATTTGTGTCAGTACAAGAGTATACACATATTCAACTTGACTTAGAGTATCCTATTTCAGTAGTGAATAAATAATCATCGTGACAGTATTAATTATATACACTCAGTTAGCTTGAAATTTCCATTACTCGAATACAAAAATTCTCTAAGGTATTTTTTAAGTAGAAATCAAAATAGACACTGTAAACTACAATAATCGATTATATTGATCAGAATGTTATACCATTCGACGACTTCAAAGGTACCATCGAAATGGCTATAACGACTTCTTTCAATCATATCATTAGCACAACTACCCGTAACTTTCTACTTTATTACGATTTACAATATGGATTTTTAATTTAGGTTTGATGGAAAATAAAATGAACGGAATCTCGGCACCCTTTAATTTGAATTTTTTCGTAAAATTCCATTCCATACGATAAATAAATCGGTTATCATGTAATGGCTTGTCTATTAACACGTACTGAGAAAAGATCAGCATGGTAAAATTCCTTAGCGCTAAGTCCCCGTTAATTATTTCTTTCAATAACGATGTTGATACAACTGCAGATAGCATTCTGTTCTATCACGTATTATAGAAAAGATTTTATATTACAGTCAACTAGAAATTAGAGCGAACATAACATTGGCACTGTTTAGTAACAAGATTAAGTATATATCCATCCTACCGGTAAAATCTACTCTAAGCAAGGAATAATATTGATCACCATGGCATTTGATAAGTACTCAGGGGAAATCGGAAAAGTATAATATTTTTAGTGCCAATTCCCGTTAAGAAAATTCTTTCAATCATAATATTGACAGAACTATCTGCAGCATTTGTAATATCATATTTTATAGTATGGACTTCAAATTCATGTTATGTAAAAGTTAAAGCAATGTAGAATACTGTTGCTGCTTATTCTAAGACTATACAACAACCAAGCGCATTGATCTACGCCATTCAATCAATAAGAATGATTACAAGGACAATTTTTATTCTATCTGTAGACAGAAATTTTTAAAATGGTTCCATTTCTTAGAGCCGTATAGTATATTGAACGTTTTCTTTCAATCAAAAAAGGTTGACATAATCACCTACGAAATTACGTTATGGCACGTTTCTCGATATGAATTTTCAAATCAAAAGCAATAAAAATTAAAGCTGATGGAATGTTAGTACGTTATTCAGTTACAATAAACTGCATGAGATTAATAACAGTCATCATCATGGCGTACCATTCGACGAATGTAGCAAAACGATGGAAATGGCACAAGTCGTTTGATCTAATTATCATTAAGCTTTGCTGATAATAAAAAGTTGACACAACTTCCTACAGTTTTCTGTAACACCTCATTTTATAGCACCAAAGTTGAAAATCAGATTAGCGAGAACGTAAAAGATTGAAGATATTCATAGAAGGCATTACAAATGAAAGAAAAGAGCAAAATGATCAAAATGATTTAATTTCATGATTCAGTAACGATCGATGTTTTTTCAATCATAAAATAGACACGATTGTTGACAACAAAATGGGATAATAAAGAACCTAGTAACTCGCAGTAATATTCTACACCATTTCATTCTATAAGAGGATATTGAAAATTTGATTAACGACAACTTAGTGGATTGATGGCATCCATGAAGGATACTACAAATGAAAGGAAGTAGCGAAATGACTGAAATTGTTTAATGTCTTGGCCAAATATCGATAGGCATGATTTTTTAGCCATCAAGTATATACAATTTCTCACAGTATTTTGAAATATCACGAGAGGATTGGATAATTAAAGTCATTATTGTAAAATAGTTCTCACTACTCATGGAAAGAATTCTTTCGATCTTATTGTTTAGTATTAAATGGAGTTATTTCACATAGTATAGCTTCCATCATGAGCAAAAATTCCCCTTTGCTCTCTAACAAACTGCTTTAGTTGAGATGACAAGTAAAAAAAGCTGCAAATTGCTTTAACAATACCAAAACGTATTTACAGTAATTGGATAACATGATGAAGCCACGATAGAATTTGTTTAAGGAGTAGATAACATGATGTATTTTATTACCTTTAAATGCTGATCGCTTATGAGTATTGAGTTCTTCTTTAACTAATCGGATATCGCCGCACTTGATAGCATTGATAAAATCATTATTCTTGCCCATCTTGATTTGCCGTTAAAGCTGACTAGCCAAACTTTTAATCAATGAGTTATCGATGGTTAAAAGAATTCCAAGTTACGAGATTTTGATGAGTTAAAATAGACACTAAAGATAAACGAAGCCAGAGGGAACGAAACAGCCAATAAAGGAAACTAATGTAAAGACAATAACAATATTCAAATCTAGCTTTCAAAAAAGAAACAGTAGCAGCAAATAAAACTGGTCTAGGTGTAGAGGATTATGTT